CCTAGGCGCCGGGGTATGGGGTGGGGGGTAATTCTCCGCCTGGGGAAGGGGTCAGAGGCTTCTGGGACGAAGCGGCATTTGAGAGTGGCTCTGGGAACCAGCTCTGAGAGAGGGAAGGGGTCGGCGCGGAGTGCGGGACAGGCGGGCACCGAGCCGAGCGGGGCTCCGCTCCCGGCTGCGGCTCAACTTACATCTTGTCCTTCTGATGCTGTCGCTTCCCCATGGCGGCGGCTGCGGCTGCGCTGGCAGTGCCAGGACCAGCGAGCGCGGAGAAACGACGGCAAACAATCCAGATTCCGACTTCCGGGCCCAGCTCCCTAATTACTTCCGGGTCCCGCGGACCCGCCCCGGAAGTGGGCGAGGGGCGTGAGGGAACGGTGGCGCTTGGTGCCAAGTGCGCATGCCCAGCAGGTACAGCCTGGTCCTAGGGTGCCTGGGCGGAGCTCGCGGTAGGGCTTAGGTGCTGGTGGGCCGAGAGGCCTCTGCCTCGAAGCCCCACTTTCCCGGGCGGGTGGGGGATGCTCTCTCTGGACCTTTCGCATACCAATCCAGCCCTGGCTATGTGTCGTCCCTGCTCAAGCCTGCCCTGGTTTCACCTGGATCTTTACAAAAAGTCTGCGGGTCAGGGCGCCTGGGTGGCTCAGTTGGTTGGGCGACTGCCTTCGGCTCAGGTCATGATCCTGGAGTCCCGGGATCGAGTCCCGCATCGGGCTCCCTGCTCGGCAGGGAGCCTGCTTCTCCCTCTGACCCTCCCCCCTCTCATGTGCTCTCTCTCATTCTCTCTCGCTCAAATAAATAAAATCTTAAAAAAAAAAAAAGTCTGCGGGGCACCACAAGTCCCACCAGCGTCTGTTTCCTTTCGTGGCAGACGCCTCCAAAGCCACGTCCACAATTCGCTGTATGCCCGTTCTCCCATTCAGTCCTCACCGTCTCCAGGCCCCTCTCCTGGGCGAATTAGGGGCAAGTGGCCATTAAGCCCGAAAGTCCAAAGCCCTCACTCATCTGTTCCCCTTTCTTAAGGACCTTTCCCTCGACCAGATCACTATCTTCCTGTGCCCCAGCCTAAGCCCTGGGCCTCCGTCTACACCCAGGCTCGTGGCTTTAAATACCACTTGTATCCCTTGATTCTCATCATTAAACGGCCAACACTCCAGATTCCTGACCTCTACTTAGGTACCACTGATCTCAAATTTAACGTATCTGGTCAAAACAGAATTCTCCATCCCCCCTGTACCCCCTACTAGTCAACTGTACCACTAGCCAATCACCCAAAGCCAGTTGTCCTTGTCCTTTCTCATTTCGTGGCTGCCTCCTTCTAATTTTCTAGGTTTCAATATAAAGGTCATCTCCTCAGAGACGCCTTCCCTGACAGCCCACCACATACATGCCCAACTCAGCTCCCACAGGACTTACCACAACTTATAACCCTGTTAATTAGATCTATGCACTGGTTACACACACACACATGAGGATAGGATGTGAGCTCCTTAAGAGCAGGGACCCCAACCACTTGGGTTTATTATCTCCAGTCCCAAGCAAGGTGTGAGGCATACACAAGGGTTCAATGAATATCTGCTAATGTCCAGCAGTCCCCAAGTATTCTGTGAGGACTCACATCTCACATGCAGGTTTGATTCTCAGGTTGGTGTGTGAGAGGAGTCACTGTCTCTGAAACTCCTTACGGAGGTGCCAAGTTGGAAACTAAGACACCAGCTTATTTTCCTTCAGGGTGGGAACAGATCACTGTTTCTAAACCCACACCAGGATAAGGCTTGAGTTTAGGGGCCAAGTGCAGGAAAAAATGGTAGACTTGCAACTCAGTGGGGTCAAGTGAAGCCTAAAGGGGCCACAGACACTGTAGGGAAGGGCAGCACTGTCTCATCACTCATTTCTCTTTCACACCGCCATGGCTGGGGCACCTGGGTGGCTCAGTTGGTTGAGCGGCTGCCTTCGGCTCAGGTCATAATCCCAGGGTCCTGGGATCGAGCCCCGCATAGGGCTCCCTGCTCAGCGGGGAGCCTGCTTCTCCCTCTCCTCCCTACTCATGCTCTCTCTCGCTCTCTGTCTCTCAAATAAATCTTTAAAAAAAAAAAAAAGTACCATGGCTGAATTCCCATGTTAGAGTGCAAGCGAGGGGACTTCACAGTAGCACTGACCTGACCAATTACTGTATGCAGGCTCAGGCTGAGGGGGAACTCAGGCTTGCACTAGCCTGAACACCTCTTTCGACTGGAGGAAGCCCATGGGATTGTACAGCCTCTAGGGAGCCCAGCGCAAATAAGGCACCTCCGCGGGAACTTTATTCATTCCTTTAGCCACCTTCTGTAGGGGAGAGGTTATGGGCCCCTCTTGTGGGGCTCAGGCTCTGTGCTGCTAGGGTCGTTCTCAGAGTCATCTTTGGGTCTTGGCACAGGCTGGAACTTGAGCAAGACAGGCGGGGTGAAGATGGAGGCCTTCACAGGAGGGAGTGGTGTCTCCTCAGCATTGGGGGGACCACTACAAGCCGAGGTCCTGTGCAGGAGACAGCCAAGACACGTCCGTGAGGTGGGATACTGGCACAAAGAGCCGCCAGAAGTACACATGACAACACTTCAGGCTGTGGGATGGCTTGCAATACATTTCTACTTCCAGAACTCTCTTCCATAGTGGTTGTTCCAGGCTGTTCACTGCAGCAATGTTTGTGATTGTGAAGACCTGGAAACAACCTAGACGCTCCTCAGGGAATGGCTAAAGGAACCACAGGTGCCATGTGGCAGGTGGTTCTGCAGCTGTTGAAGGGCTGAGGTAGGTCTGTATATCCCAGCAAATAAAGATGCCCCAATGGCACAGTAGTGGAAAACAGCAAGCTGCTGGGAAGTACATGCAATATATAATCCTGTTTTGGTTACAGAATTAACCAGTGTATTTGTGTGTGTGTGTTAGAAGGGTACACGTGAAACTCTTAGCAGTGGGACTCCTAGAAGCAGGAGCCTCTTATATTACACGTATTCATTTCTCTATTGTGAACTTTTTCCCAGAGAACATGTCCTGCTTTTGTAAACTTTTTAAAGCCAATGAAAAATAACCCACTTTTGATGATAGCATCATGAGAACACAGCTCACTCAGAAAGCAATACGTAACAAGAGCCTAAAATTGTCCCCATCAGTGCAATGTTTCAACGAGCAAGAATGGTTGAGGAAATATTCCATCCATACAATGGAGCATTTTGCATCTATTATTATTGGTGAACTTAAGTATATTTCTAAAGACCCGAGGAGAAACGCATTCCAGAGCTGGCTACAAAGCTGCCTAACGGGACACTCCCAGTTAGGTGACAGACTACCATATGTGTATAGACGTGTTTCCACAGGGAAAAGACAAATATATGCTAGTGCTGGTTATTTCTGGCAGTGGGCGTTAAGAGTGATTTGGTATGGCTTTTCCTCTCCTTTGTGTGCGGTTTTCAAATTATCTACAGTAAATACATATTTTTTAGAATCTGAAAAAAGAGTCGTTTTGAAAACTGTTCAGACCATTTCCCTCATAATTCCGCTTCAGGAAATTCATCTGAAGTTCAGGAACAGCTTCGCACATAAAGACTTTAATCCCAGCACTAACTATACTCGTAGAGAAGACAACTAGAAGCACCTCATGTGTTCGTGGAAGCCTGTGGAGTTAAGTGATAGCCCTACATGCACAGGATATTTATTATGCAGCCAACGAAGCTCAGCTTCAAAAGACCATCAAGAAGTGGACCAGTCCCCATGGCCATCATGGTAAGTGACAAAGGCAAGATAAAAGAAATGACATTGTCTAATTGAATCACACCCTTATAAAACTATGCCTAGGGGCACCTGGGTGGCTCGGTCGTTAAGCGTCTGCCTTCGGCTCAGGGCATGATCCCGGGGTCCTGGGATGGAGTCCCGAATCGGGCTCTCTGCTCGGCGGGGAGCCTGCTTCTCCCTCTCCCACTTCCCCTGCTTCTCCCTCTCCCTCTGCTGCTCCCCCTACTTGTGCTCTCTCTCTCTCAAATAAATAAATAAAATCTTAAAAAAAAACAAAAAACCAGAGCAAAGAATTTGAAAACGTCTATGGCTCCTGATGTTCTGATAAACTGCCTTTCAAAAGGACTAACCTTATACTTTTGTGCTTCAAAAGACACCACTGAAAAAGTGAGAAAACCACCCACACAGTGGGGGGAAATGTTTGCAGATCCTGTGTCTGATGAGGGACTTGTGTCTTCGGCAGTTCCTCAAGATACAGACTTACCATATGACCCAGCAATTCCACTCTTAAGGGTATACCCAAGAAAACTGAAAACTATGTCCTCACAGATACCTGGCCACAAATGTTCCTAACAGTATTATTCACAAGAGCCAAAAAAATGGAAACAGCCCAAATGTCCATCGACTCATGAATAGAGAAAATGCAATATATCCATACAATGGAATACCGTTCAGCCATAAAAAGAAAGTCAACCCATAGAATGTACAGCACCAAAAGGGAACCCTGATGTAAACGATGGACTTTTGGGCGACTAGGATGTATGAGTGCAGGCTCATCAGTTGTGAACACACGCATCACTCTGGAGGGGATGTTGATAATGAGGGAGGCTGTGCACGTGGGGGTGTAGGGGGCGTATGGGAACTCTCTGTACTTTCCTATCACTTTTGCTGTGAACCTAAAACTGCTCTAAAAAATTTTAAGTCTTAAAAAAGAAATTTAAGGGGCTCCTGGGTGGCTCAGTCATTAAGCTTCTGCCTTCGGCTCAGGTCATGATCTCAGGGTCCTGGGATCGAGCCCCGCATAGGGCTCCCTGCTCCGCGGGAAAACCTGCTCTCCCTCTCCCACTCCCCCTGCTTATGTTCCCTCTCTCGCTGTGTCTCTCTCTGTCAAATAAATAAAATCTTAAAAAAAAAAAAAAAGAAATTTAAAAAACAGGAAATTCATGTTAACTAACCCAAATTTAAATTAAAAATTTTAAAAATAAAAAGTAAATAAGGGCGCCTGGGTGGCTCAGTCGTTAAGCGTCTGCCTTCGGCTCAGGTCATGATCCCAGGGTCCTGGGATCGAGTCCCACATTGGGCTCCCTGCTCTGCAGGAAGCCTGCTTCTCCCTCTCCTGCTCCCCCTGCTTGTGTTCCTGTTCTCGCTGTGCCTCTCTCTGTCAAATAAATAAAAATAAAATCTTTAAAAAAAATAATAAAAAGTAAATCATTCTGGAGGCGCCTGGGTGGGTCAGTCAGTTAAGCATCCGACTCTTGGTTTGGGCTCAGGTCGTGATCTCAGCGTTGTGAGATCGAGCCATGCGTTGGGCTCTATGCTAAATACAGAGTCTGCTTGAGATTCTCTCTCCTTCTCCCTCTCCCCACCCACCACCACTCACAGGAGTGCACTCGCTCTCACTCCAAAATAAATAAATAAAATCTTTAAAAATAAATAAATAAAAATAAATTATTCTGCCAGGAAATTCAGCAGTAACACATGCTATGACATGGATGAACCTTGCAAACATTATGCTAAATGAAAGAAGGCAGTCACGAAAGACCATGTTATTGTATGGTTTCATTTATATGAAATGTCCAGAACAGACAAATCCACAGAGAAAGTAAGTTAATCGCTGCCTAGGGCTGGGGGTGGAGGACCTGGGGGTGACAGCTAAGTAGTGCTAGGGTTTCTTTCTTTTTTTTTAAATTGTAGTAAAATATACATAACATTTACCATTTTAACCATTTCTATGTGTACAATTCAGTGGCATTACATACATTCACAATATCCTGTGACCATCACCGCTATCTATTTCCAGAACTTTTTTATCACCCCAAACAAACTGTACAATTAAGCAACTCACTCCCTTCTCCCAGTTCCTGGTAACCTCTCATCTACTTTGTCTTTAGGACTCTGCCTATTCTAGATATTCTATGTAACAGGAACCATACAATAATTTGTCCTTTCGTGCTGGCTTCTTTCACTTGTTTCAACATTCTATTACATGACTAGGTCACATTTTGTTCATCTTGGATACACTTGGGTTGTCTTCTCCTTTTGGCCACTGTGAAACTGGTGCTATGAACATTCACGTGCAAGCATCTGTTTGAGTCTCTACTTCAGTTCTTTCAGCCATATACCTGGGAGGAGAATTACCGGGTCATATGGTAATCCTATGTTTAACATTTTGGGGAACCACCAAACCTTTTTGCCATGATGGCTGCACCATTTTACATTCCCACCGGCCACACACTAGAGTTCCAATTTCTCCACATGCTCATCAACACTTGTCATCATCTGTCTCTACGATGAGAGCCATCCTAGTGGGTGTGACGTGGTATTTCACTGTGGTGTTCATTTGCATTTCCCTGATGCCTAATGACAGGGAGCATCTTTTCCTGTGTTTATTGGCCATTTGTATGCCTTCTTTGAAGAAATGTCTATTCAAGTCCTGTGCCCATTTTTTGGAATGGGTTTTTTTGTGGGTTGTCTATGGGTTGTCTTTTCACTCTCTTCTTTTTGACATGATGGAAATATTCTAAAATTGGACTGTGGTGATGGTTGCACAAATGTGAATATATAAAAGGCCACTAAAGTGAACACTAAATGGGTGAATTCATATGATGCTATGCAAATTATCTCAATAAGAGAATTTTTAAAAGGACAAAGCCAATTTATAGTACTTTCACAGCTAAAATGAGTCTCCTCCTAAAGCCTTGATAGCACAGGATTCTCTTTACTTGGGGCTTTTTGATAGGTATAGAGCATAAATCTTAGTAACCTTAACGTGTACATCTTTCATTACTAAGGAAGCCAAAAACATTTTTAAAGGTTCACTTACACTTTGGGTGTCTTCGTGAATATACTTTCCATCAACTAAATTTAGAATCATCTTTACAGAACTGTGTAGGTTTCTTACACATAAGTCATTTACATTCTCATTCATTGGTAGTGGGAATACATAATGGTACAACCACTTTGGTAGTTTCTTTAAAACTAAACATATTATCACCATATAATCCAGCAATCATGCTTCTTGGTAAGAGAGTTGAAAACTTATGTCCACAAAAACCTGCATGTAGATGTTTATATAGCAGCTTTATTCAAAATTACCAAAACTTGGAAGCAACCAAGATGTCCTTCAGTAGGTGGATGGATAAATAAACTACAGTATACCCAGTTACTCAGTGCTAAAAAGGAACTAGCCAGCCATGAAAAGACATGGAGGAACCGTAAGTGAAAGAAGCCAATCTCGAATGGCTATATACTATAGGATTCCAAGCATATAACATCCTGGAAAAGGTCAAATTATGGACACAGTAAAAAGATCAGTGGTAGTCGGGCGTTAGGGGAGAGGGATAGATGAACAGCTGGAGCATAGAGGATTTTGAAGGCAATGAAATTGTTCTGTAGGACACTACAATAGTGGATACCTGTCATTATAAATTTGTCCAAGCCCATAGAATGTACAACGCCAAGAGTGAGCCCAAACATATGGACTCTGGGTGATAATGATGTGTCAATGTAGGTTCACCAACTGTAAGGTGGGGCATGTTGATAGTGGGGGAGTCTGTGCCTGTGTAGCGGGGAGGGGGACATGGAAACTCTCAGCACTTTCTCAGTTTGCTGTGAATCTAAAACTCCTCTAAAAAATAGCTATTTAGGGGCACCTGGGTGGCTCAGTCATTAAGCGTCTGCCTTCGGCTTGGGTCATGATCCCAGGGTCCTGGGATCGAGCCCCACATCAGGCTCGGCGGGTAGCCTGCTTCTCCCTCTCCCACTCCCCCTGCTTGTGTTCCCTCTCTCGTTGTGTCTCTCTCTCTGTCAAATAAATAAATATATTTTTTAAAATAGCTATTAAAGGGCGCCTGGGTGGCTCAGTTGGTTAGGCGACTGCCTTCGGCTCAGGTCATGATCCTGGAGTCCCTGGATCGAGTCCCGCATCGGGCTCCCTGCTCGGCAGGGAGCCTGCTTCTGCCTCTGACCCTCCCCCCTCTCATGTGCTCTCTCTCTCTCATTCTCTCTGTCTCAAATAAATAAATAAAATCTTTAAAAAAAAAAGCTATTAAAAAAAAATTATCTGATGCAATGAAGTAGCCAGTCTAAATACATACTTTGAAATAACACTCCATGGAATGACATAGGAAATAACACCACCATAAATGGCAAAAACAGGTGATTAAAACAAACAAGCAAACAAACCACCTATTCAGTAAATCCCTGCTTTGCAAAACACATGTGTATAAACCTTAGGGCTACCCACAGTTGATGGAATTGTTCCCTTTCTAATGGGTCTCTGAGCTGCTTGTTTCCAACTCTCAGCATTTACAAACACTAGGAATGGGGAGCAACTTTTCCAGCACCCGATTACATTAGGGTCCTTTCATGAAATGCGAAGGACCATCATACAGAACATTTTTCTAGCCCTCGTGCACACTGGCATGATGCCATCATGCCAGGTAAGCCAGGACGATGTCCCACCCCAGATAGGCCCAGAGGCGTGCTTACCAGGGGAAGCCAGGGCAACGGAGCTTGTGTGCACTGTTTCCAGCCAGGTACGAGAAATGGAAGCCTCCGGGGTTGAGGACCAAGGGGGTCAGATCAACCATGTGTCTGTAAGACCGGAGAGAGAGGGAAACATCAGCTCTGGGCTCCTCCCCGGCAGGCCCTCCCACAGGGACTCCCGGGCACGGAGCAGACCTCTGAGCCTTGACTCCATCCCTGTACAATGGGAATAACCACCCCTCAGGATTGTGGTGAGGATTGACAACAAGGTGGGGAAAAATTGGGAACCAAGCGTGGCACACAATGTGCTCCCTAAAATGCTCTCTTTTCATTTGCCCTAAGCCTAGAATCAATTCCTTCCACCTCTTTGGGTTCGATGACAGGCCAGGCCAGTTCAATTTCACTTCTGACCTTGCAACCTCCAAGTTCTCCATCTGCAGGAAACAAAGAAAATCTTAGGACAAGTCTGGGGGCCCCACTGGGAAGAAAAACACCTTACACAAGAACTAGGGAAACTATGTGACTATCACTCATTCAGCAAATACATCAGGGTCATCCTTAGCGCCCACCTCAAGCTTGGTGTTAGGGACGGGGATGGGATGGGGGCTGGGAGCTGAGAGAGGACTGGGGGCTGACTGGCATGAGAGTGCAGGAGGAGGGGATAGGAGAGGCATGTGGTTAGGAAGGCACTGCAGAGACAAGGAGACCACCAGCCACGAAGCGGGGCAGGCGTGGGGCTAGAGATGTTGGGGGGCAAGCCATGCTTCTCCACCTGTCCTTTGGGCACCCCAGGATTCTGCCCCATGTTTTGGCAGCTGCCTTGCTCAGCTGAGGCCAAGCAGGTGAAACTCCGTGCCTCCAACCCTTCAACCAGAGCAGACCCCCTTTTATCTGCTTTATCCATCAACATTCTACCCAAGACTTTGCCTCCAGAGAGCATTCTGCCGCTTAAAAACAAAGTTCTGACAGTCACTGCCATGGGCCCGGGGAAGCCGCTGGGGTGGTTCTGAGCAGAGGGGTAGGGGCTGCCGCTCCTGGGACCATGCGGACTGGGGGATGAGCTCACTGACCGACTTGCTGGGCAGCGGAGGGAAGGGGCCAAAGACCCGAGGCATGGTGTAGACAGGGGGTGATGGGGCCACCACGGAGGCCATGGTGGTGGCAGGTGACGGCAGCGGTGGAGGTGGCAGCAGGGCTGGTGGCAGGCATGGGGAAGTTGAGTGGTCTTGCAAGAGGACGGGTTCTGGTTTCTTCAGCTTTGGCTTTCTTCTCTTCTTCTTGGCATCTGTGACAAAAGGGACCAATGAGTGCCTACCCCATGGCCAGAACAGGGTAGCGTCGAGGCCAAACAATGGTGCAGGTTCTTCACAAGGTTCCTCCCCCAAAGGGCACCACATAAAAGTGCCTGGAGCCACGGCTGACAGGCACCAACATGTACCAGCTCACCGACCCCACAACTACCCCATGAGGAAAGGCTATTTTTGTCTCTCTCTTACAAGGAGAAAGGGAAGCTCTGAGTGTACGAGGCCCAGGAAGGACCCATACCCCAACTGTCTGACTTCAAGGCCAGAATTTCAGAGGAAGTAACATGAGTATCACCACCAAGGAGGGCTGGGCTTGTCCCAGACATGTCAGTCAGCCACCTACCCCAAGCTCCTAAGTCAGCCAGCACCTTCCTGGGGTATCCAGGCCCTGGACGGGGAGTTCACCAACGACACCCAACCCCAGGGCCATCCTGGGGGTATGCAAAGGCCCTTTCCTCTGTAAGGAAACTCTTCTGTAGGAGGTCTTACAGAAGTGGGCTCAGGGAGAGAATCTTTGAGTAGCAGGACTCTGGGGCCTGCCCCCTCTCCTCTTTCCACATTAGGTTTTCTTCCTATATTTGATGAGTCTGGCTATTTCTACTGGACACCAGCAAAGCGGGTATGAACAAGTGCCTCATACAGCCCATTAAAAGGGCTCATCTAGAATGACAATCACTACCACCAGGGAGCACTGACCTGGAGGCTAAGAGCCCGAGCCCTAGAGCAACCCATACCTGAGTTCAAGTCTAGACTCTACTACTTACTACGTGACACTGTTGTCATATCGTTGGCTACCCTCCCTGGGCCTCTATGTCCTCTTCTGTAAAATGAGTTTAATAGCACAGACACTACCTTGGGAGGCTGTGTAAGAGCTACACATGCTGGGGGTCCTTCAGATGCAATGGTGATGTGGAACACTCACACTCAGCATCATGGAAAGTGGGACCCCCAGGTGAGCCAAGCCTCCTGATACAATGAAGAAAGCTGCTCCACCACTAGCTAGGGTATCACTGAAGACAAATGCACCAAAAGAACTGAACCCACATCTAACATAAGGCTTTAGAGCAACTATCCAAGAAATACAGGGAGCAGGGGACAAGACAAACGGCACCAGGGGGGCCCTAACAACAGATATAAACCCATTGAGTGCAACGCCCCAAAGGACATTACAGTTCTTCAAGGTGATGGCATGGGGGAGTAAGGTGAGAGCATCCCACCTCAAAGGGACTTCAACAGACGTGGCCATCCCTCACTTGCCATCCCTACGTGGTCACTAGTGTGGCCCCCTTCCATTTCACTCTCACAAGTGTGCCAATGTGGACTCGAAGTATATGGCCATCCTAGTGAAAAGGAACCTCAAAGGACCTAACATCCAAACCAAGTATCAGCTGATATTAAGAAATTGTTGTCATGGGTGCCTGGGTGGCTCAGTTGTTTAGGCGACTGCCTTCGGCTCAGGTCATGATCCTGGAGTCCCGGGATCGAGTCCCGCATCGGGCTCCCTGCTCAGCGGGGAGTCTGCTTCTCCCTCTGACTCTCCCCCTCTCATGCTCTCTCTCTATCACTATCTCTCTCAATAAATAAATAAAAAATCTTTAAAAAAAAAATTGTCGTCGGGCGCCTGGGTGACTCAGTCAGTTAAGCATCTGCCTTCGGCTCAGGTGGTGGTCTCAGGGTCCTGAGATCGAGTCCCACATCAGGCTTCCTGATCTGTGGGGAGCCTGCTTCTCTCTCTCCCTCTGCCCCTCCCTGTGCTTCTGTGAGCACGCTCTGTCAAACAAATAAATACATAAATAAATCTTAAAAAAAATTGTTGTCAATAATATGTAGGTAACATTGTGATTACAAAATGTCTTTTTTAAATATATAAAACAGCATTCTAAAGGATCCAAGAATACAATGATGTCTGAGATTTCCCCCCAAAATGCTCCAGAAAAAGGAAACGGGGTAGTAGAGTGAAGCAAGCATGGCAAGATGGGGATAGGTGCTGAAACTGAAGGGTGACCGGTACTTGGGTGTTCACTGCAGCCTCCAGTTTTGTATATGTTCGTTTTCAAAATACTTTAAAAATAAACACCAAATTAAAAAAAAAAAAAAAAGTGCCAAGCACAGAACCAGGGATAAGGGAACCTGAGTCAGGTTTGCTGGGCACTGGAGCCTGGCAGAGGCTGAACCTCACCCTGAGAGTAGAGGTGCACGCGGTGAATGCTCCTCTTCAGCTGCTCCAGGCGCTGGTGCATCTCCAGGGCACCCATGCTGTTGCAACAATTCAGCTCCCCCTGAACCGCACAGAAGAACTTTGCCTACGACAAGGGGACAGGCAAGGCAGGAGGAAGCCAGACAGGTGAGACGCCCGCCGGCTGCACTGTCCAAGCTGGGCCGCCTGGGGCTTCTGGACGAACCCTACTCTGCAGCTCCAGCTAGGCCCGAAGGCTCCCTCCGCCCCCAACCCCCGCCCCACCCCGCCCCCAATCGCCTATCCTCACAGCCCCGCCCCAGAGGACAGCGAACTGGAGCCGTGTGAGCACCCGCCCCCGTGGTCCCCACCCCGCCTCCCCCGTTGCAGCCCCGCCGGCCCGCTCGCACCCAGAGGAAGGAGAGGAGCCCGCGCCCCTCGTACTCGGCCAGCTTGCCCTTGCGCACCACCCTCTCGGCCAGCGCGGGGTTGCGGTCGATGCTGCGGAAGAGGCGGCGCAGCGCGCGCTCCGTGTAGGTGGCCGCCTGCCTCTCGAAGTCCTCCTCGGAGATGAGCTGGCAGAAGGTCACACTCTGGGGGAACTCGCTGTCGAACTCGTCCAGGACCTCCATCCCTGAGCGGCTGCGGGCGGGCCTGGGTGGCCTGGGGGCGGAACGGCCGTCGGGGCCGGGCCACCGAGGCTCCAGGCGCGCCGACCCCCACCCGCCTCGGGTCGGGGGACAGGGCAGGTCCCGAGGGCCAGGGACTGGGTCGCCGTGGGCTGCGGGGCGGGCACCGCGAGGACGCACCTGCTCTCTGCCCCACAGCCGCCGCGCCGACGCAGCCTCCCTCGGCGTGCCGCCGCCACCGCCCCGACCGCTCTAGCCAATCCCCCCGGAGCTCGCGGGCGGGGGGCCAATCCGCGCGAGGCGGCCGCACGTGACAATGCCCACCGCTCTAGGCATGCGCTCTGGAGCCTTCGACGGGGCAAACGCTGACCGGGCAAACGCTGCCGCGCACCGCGGAGGCCCCGTCGCGCTAGCGTGTTGCAGGCCTTAATGGGGGAGCCGGCTATGACCACGCAGAGAACATGGTCAGCAGCCATACTCTTCAAACTTCTTTTTTTTTTTTTTTTAAAGATTTTATTTATTTGCGAGAGAGAGCATGAGAGGGAGAAGCAGACTCCCTGCTGAGCAGGGAGCCCGATGTGGGACTCGATCCCGGACTCCAGGATCATGACCTGAGCCGAAGGCAGTCGCTTAAGCAACTGAGCCACCCAGGCGCCCCTCTTCAAACTTCTTTAAGGCTCTCTCCCCTCCCCATTCCGTGTGCTCGCCCTCCCTCCTCGCGGTCTGTAGACAACACCCCAAGGGCTTCACTCAGTCCCTAACTCCTCTAGTCCCAGACTTCACTCTTCCTCTCCTGATTTACTCTCCAGTATCAAACCCAACCCTCCTCAGCTTCTGTCTTCTCTTCCCCTGTATAACCACTCCTTTGCTCTGTACTCGCGGTTTCCTCTTCACGAGCATCTCCAGCTGCTCCTTATGCATTTCAGAAGGCCTCATCTTCAGGGTACCATCTGGGACGATCTTACCCCACTTCTTGGTCCCAACTCAGAGCTGACTTAACTAACTCTAACCTGCGTCTCAGGCTCAGACCTCCCTTGAATTCCAGAACCACATCCAAGTTTCGGCTGGGGTTGTTTCTTGGGCGTCTCATGCTGAACATATCCAGTTTGGCATACAGCTTCTTCCCTCCCAACCCCAAACCTGCTTCTCTTCTCCCTTCCTACTTGATCAGCGATGTCACCACCAACCACCGCAGCCACATTGATTGATAAGGGGGTCCACCCTGGATTGCTTCCTCTCTGTCGCCCTCCACACCCATTCACCCCGATCAACCTGAGATCCATGGAGTGTATCTGAGAAGTCAAAAGAGATTTTTCACCTCCCACTGCCAAACCACCAACCCTCTCCCAGCGTAGGCCCTCACTTCCTCCTGCTTTGAGGTCAGAGAGCAAGATGGAAACAATCAAGGAGGAAAAAAAATTTTAGCCTAGGGGTGCAAACAGATATGATACACATGGGTTCAAATCTTCATTCTACTTCCTGATGCTGTGTGCTTCTCTCCCACTCCCCCTGCTTGTGTTCCCTCTCTAGCTGGGTCTCTGTCAAATAAATAAATAAAAATCTTAAAAAAAAAAAAAAAAGACTTTACTTTGAAATATATAGTATTTGCCTTTATATACAGCACAAATCCTCTGAGGGGTCAAACAGACCCCTAATTAATCCCCCCCACCATGTTATGCTAATAATACTTCACACTATATGTACTTATTTGTATTTTTTAAAGTTGTATTGGCCCCCTCCTCTGTGCCAGGCACTGCCAAGAGAGATATAAAAAGGGACATTGTCCCTGCCCTCAGGGCTCCCAGTGTAATGAGGACTTCAGCCACAATGAGAAATTTCAATCTAACAGGCTCTGCTGGAGGGATATTGGATGCTGTGGAGCCCAGGAAAGGCTTTCCCTAGGAGGGAACATATGAGCAAAGCCCTGAGTTCACAAGCATCCCCCAGCAAGGGCCAGAGACAGCTGTATGAGGGTCTCCAGCTAGTGGGCACAGAATCTACCCAGAAATAAGGATGGCCACTTCCAGCCATGGATGCCCGGTCTTCTACCCCCCAGGGTGGGGGTGAAGCTGACATCTTGATGTGCTCAGCCAGGGGTGAGAGGTACTCCCAAATGCCCATCTGGAAACGTAGGCCTCCTCTCAAAGGAGACAGGCTTGAATGACTCACTGGGCACATAAAAAAGCCTTTTGCATTGCGGCAGGTCCTGATAGAGGAGGTGGCCTTGCAGGCACGCCTGGGGCCTGGCTCCTTGGCAATCCCCCTAATTGTAGCTGTTAGGATGTGCATGCCAGGCACCTCTTGGTCCCTCCTGCAGTCTCAGGGCAGCATACCTCCCTGTAAGAGAACAAACTGGCATGGTTGATGGGTATCACCTGTGGGCTTCATAGCCCAAGTCCACCCACCCACCCCAGATAGTGCTGCTCCTAAGAACCCAGGAGAATGTTCTCTCCAGAGTCTGACCCTCCCCAAGCCCTCAAGGAGGGCTGGGTGTAGTTCACCTGCACATGCTCAAAGTTGAGCTGGGTCTGAGCCAGGCAACACAGTGCGTCTCCATTTCTCCACAAGGCCCTGACCGAACCTGGAGTCCCCAGTCTTACCCAGGGAGTTAGTGTGGAAAGATCTTCTTCAAACCAGAGCTTTTCTGAATCCAGGGCCTCTGCCCCTTGCTCCTGTCCAGCCATAACCCAGAAGGAGAATTTATGGGAGGATCCCCCAGCTCTGCACTCACCTAATCCTCTGATGAAGGGTCCAGCCCAGTTCCGCACCTGCTCCTAACTGCTAGGAAGTGGAGTGAGGCCCCAAAACTCCCTCCCTTCAGGCGCTATGGGTGGTGGGCTGGGCCTGACCGATGCCCTTTCATCATTGCACTGCTTCCCAGTGGCCCACAGTAGTGCAACAGGGAAAGAGTGTCAGGCAGGCCTGCCAGCGCCTCTCCCGGTGGTGGTCCGGTGGTGGTCCGTGAGGATCTGAGACCTGGAATGCAGGCCCACTGGGGTGGGGCTTCTCTGCCTTGGGGGAAGGGTGCCCTCTGACCCTAGAGGCCCAGGCCTGGCCAGGATCTCAAGTTTCCATGGAGAAGGGAGTGAGGCCAGGGAAGGGGGGGGGGAGGGCCTGCAGGCCCAAGGGGCCCGGCCTGGGGAGGGGGTTGGTAGCGTGGGGAAGGAGGGGTTCCCAAGGCTGGTCCCAGATGCTTTGACAATATCATTGCACTGCTTCTCAGAGCACAGTAGTGCAACCTCGTCAGAGCACCTGGGGCCAGCTGGGGGGACCCCTACGGCCCCCAGTAAGCTCAAGGCGGGAAGCTCAACCGTGGGTGGGTGGGGTGGGACTAGGGGCCCTGTCCTGGACCTCAAGGCGGGGAGGATTTCCGCAGGGCTGTGGTCCTGGAGGTCGTCAGAAATGTCCCGGCCCTTCCCCAGCACGCTCCACATTGCGGTGCGGGAGAGACCCCAGACTGAGGGGTAGCTCCAACCCAGGAGCGGGAGCGGACGGGGGAGGGGGCAAACACACAAAGGAGAGGGACCCGCGCTCCACCGCAGTCCGAAGCCCACTCGCGCACGGAGCGAGGGTGGGTACAGCCCGACGACCCTACGCCCTCACTCGGTCTCCGGCTCCGAGAGAAGGAGGGTGGCCCGGTTCCGAACGACGTTCCCCTGCCGGCTCAGGCCCCCATCCCTGGCCCCTAGCCCCCAGCTTGGGCTCCAGTCCTAAAGATTCTCTTCCTGGCGGCCCAGAGCGAAGCAAAAGAACAAGGGAGGCTTCCCGCCCTTCTGGAGTCCCCTGTCCGGAGAAGGCGCCCGGGGTCCGGGCTGCGCCCCTCCGCACAGTCCCGCCGGGTAGGGCCGCCCTGCCTGTGCCCTTCACCTCGGACCCTGCTACTCACGCGGCGGAACGCCCCTTCCAAACCAGGCCGGGCAGGACGCGGAAGGTTAGCGAGAGAAAGGTCCTGGCGGTTGGTCGCCCCCGTCATCCCCATCAGGACGACCCCGCACCTCGTGGCGCCCTCTCGCTCGCCGGCTCCATCTTTAACTCGCTGACAGTCGGCGGGGCCCGGCCCCCGGCTTCTTAGCATAACGCCGCGCTCATTGGCCGGAGCCGGAGCGGGGCTTCGCCTCCTGCACGCCTATTGGCTGAAACAGGAACGATTTCAAAATAGCCTCCGGGCTCCGATTGGCCGGGAGCGGGCCAAGTCCCCGGCTCCGTGGTTTTAACAATGAGTACTACAAACACTTTCTCCCCATTCATAACTTATCAAAAGGAATTTTGCCCGCCTTTTCTCAGCTCCAGTCTCCGCGAGTTTAATAGCGGCGCGGGCAAGAGCACTTGGAAGGCCGGAGGGGGGCGCCGTCCGCTCAGCTGAGCCCACTGGGAAGAGGGCTGCGATCCTGGGAAAACGCCCGAACCCTCTGTCTAGTTCTCTGTGGAGCAGGGCCGCGGTCTGCTTCATTATGCGTGCTGACATCGCTCCCCGTGCCTCCCGGACAAGATACTCGGCTCCAGTGGGCTTCCCGGCTGAGGTAGCCCCCGCTCCCCAACCAACCCCACCTCATCGCCTGGCTTGACCTGAAGCCACCCGGTTAGGCCTGGGCTGCAGAGATCTGGTCCTGGAGCCCGTGAAGCCTTGTGGATCTGGGGGAGGTAAGGGGAAGAGGGTGCCAGCTTGAGTCCCCCCGCGATTGCTATCCACTTTGTGGATACACATTAAGTGCCTACGCAGAGCTGATGACCCATAAGGATACACACCGTTCAGCCTTCACACAGCTGCAGTGTGTGTATGTATGTGTGTTGGTGCGGGGTTGGGGGGGGGGGTAGGGTTAGGCTACAGTGCATCGCTGCTCCCCCCCCCCCCATTTTATTCTCTCAGTCCAATGGCTGAGAGCAAAAGTTTCTGAGGCAGGTATAGCTGGGTTAAATCTTTACCAACCTGCTGCCTCCTCCGCAAAATTAAGACAATTGAACCTGCTTCATAGAATTGTTGCCAGGAGCAAATGAGATGCTGTGTAAATCGTTGGCCAAGTGCCCGACACTTAGTGTTCAGTAAATGCGTGCTCTGCTGCTGCAATTTAATTTTTGGTCTTGTCCTGCATTCTGTCTAGAGCCATCTTAAGTGCTCCCACAGCTTCAGCCTTGGTTCCCCAAGGATCCTACATGCTGTACACTTTGCTTCTGCTATTCGTCTAGGTGTACACAATCATGTCGCAGGTCAGGTAAGTGATGGGAGAGGAGCTTAAACTTGTAGACAATGCTTGAAGCGTTTGGCAATGGAGGGATCAGGAGGTCTATGTTTGACCAGAGCAGGAGCTCATGGGTTGAAAGGGTGGGGAAGTAATGGTCCAGGGCCTACAGTGTGAGCCACCTCTCATCAAGTCTCACAATTGGCTAGAGCTTTTCTCACACCCCCATAAGGCCAATTGATTTCTCACCTGCAAGGTGCTCTGCCCACACTCCTCCAAGCCCTTCCCACCAGCTGCTACCCCCAGCTTCTCCTTGGGCTCTTGTATTCTCATTCAGAAAGTGGCACTCTGTACCCCCAGCAGCTCCCTTAAACCCCTCCCCTCCTACATATACAGCCCCACCTGGGCCAAGGTAGCAAGTCCAAGAAGTCTGTAGTATCCCCCATAACCTCTAGAGGTCACCTACACACCAGCAAAACTAACTGTTCCCTTCCTTTATTAGGGCCCTCCTGTTTATTGTTCCTGACTTTAAGTTGCAATGCTTTGCCTGCCGGAATTGTGCCTCTCCTTCCAGGAAGCCTTCTCAGGTCTCTACAGGTAGCAGGTCTTTGTGGTTACCTTCCCTTGCAAAATCTTTTGAAGTTTTGTTATCTCCTTGGGACCCTGGAAAGTTGTAGTGGGGGCTGGAGATGCCACATGCCCAGGCAGGCTAGGGTGTGAGAATTTAACACGAAGGCTCATGGACCTCAGGGGCTAGGGAACTGGGGTCACCTGCCATCAGACCATCTAAGGGTGGAGAGGGGTGTTGTGATGGCAGTGTTGGAATACTTGAAAGAGCATCAAGGTTTGGATGGGTTGAACTGTCATTCCGTGCTGGCGACAAGAGATTTTGCACTAAGGAAGAGATGGTGAACCAGGTCAGGGAGGCTGGCACCTCCTGGTCACCCCCAGGCTTACAGCAAAACACAATCACAGACTAACATTCTTTAATCACAAAGGCACTTGAGAACCCCTACAAACCCAAAGTCTCCACCAAGAGTGGTCCTGCAGATGCCCCACCCTGCTACCCTCCATCCACTCATCCATGGCACTCAGAGTTCATCGTGACCTGCAGAGGGATCCACACTGGGCTTGATGAAGATGCCTTCCATGGCCTTCCACGTGTTGTGTGTATTGGCACTGGACATGCCATGCACTTCGTGCTGCCCACGGATGGGGCTCCCATACTGCTCTCCAGTGACTGACAGGAACACAGAGGTGCCCACGTGCTGGAAGCGCACAGTGGCCTCTCGCTCCCAGTGCTGCCCTGAGCAGCGCACGGTCCACAGATCCAGGTCGTCACCCTCACCGTCTTCCCCAAAGGCGCTCACCTCCTATGGGTGCAGGGGATAGAAGGACAGTGCTCACCAGAGGCACACTGAATCCCCTGTGGTCACTTTGGCAGCAGCACTCACACCCAGGGCACTGGGCCTTGAGTCGTTCCCTGTACCCTTCTGAGCCTCAGCTTCCACAGCTGAAAAATGGGACACTACTCCTGTCACCCCCAGCATCCAGTAGGCTCTCCCCAACACGGTCTCTTCAAACACATGCACATCCTACCCCATCTGTCTGGGCGATAACCACTGGCACCCAAGTAGCTAAGACCTCCTCCTCTCTCCTCCATGTTCCCCTTCCTAACCTCTCTGAGCCTCACTCAGCATGACATCCAACCCCTAGGCCGATAGGTCTCTATTTCATACTCTCTCTTCTGACAAGTCCCCCAAGCAGCCTCTATTCCTCCCCAATCCCTCCCTGACCCCACAACCCCCTTATACCCCAACTCCACCCCTCCACCTCTCCATCCTCCAGTTCCAGTGAATTCCATTGGAGCACAAGCTCTTCCCCAGGCCGGGCAAAGCCCCAATTCCTCCCCTCTGTGGCCTGGAGAACTACTCATCCTTCCAGACCCAACCTGCGTTTCTCCTCCCCTGCCAGGTTTCATATTCCCCACCCCAAAGGCCTTGTGAGTCCCCTTCCTGGGTCCAACCCAACCCCAGGAGATAAGCTATCCAGCAGATCTCTCTTCCTGTCAGCTGCCCCGCAGAGGTGGTGCTCAGTAAACATTTCTTAATTGAAATTCGCATTTCACACAGGAAGCTGAGGCTCAGAGCCACTGAGAGGAAGAGTCTAGATTCTGTCCCTGCCCCCCCCCCCCCCCCCCACACACACACAAGGAGCCTCTCTGGGGCGAGGGCTCACCTGGTTGTTGGACAGCGGCGACGGAAAGTGGTGCGTGTGCAGGTTCTTGCCAGTTAGCACGTGCGTGAGCCGAACCGCCTGCCCGCAGCGCACCGGGGACCCGCGCAAGCACCCGCCGTCCGACCCACCGCGGATCCGCCAGTAGCTATTGGCGTCGTCCGACGCCTCCACGCCAGTCACCGACTGTTGGCCGCTGCCTGAGGGGCGACAGCCCACCCCACCCCGAGGTCGCGGTCAATCTCTGAACTCCCTACCCTTGACCCGGACACCATAAACTTTCCAAGACAACCTCAATCCTGGGACCCCAACGGCTCACTCCCAGCCCCCAACTCTGGCCCTTGGCCCCTGGCTGAACTCCCAAGTCCCTTGGCCTGCAGCTCCCGGACGACCCTCCTCGCCCCCGATATCCCGACGACCCCCTTAAAACGGCCGGTCCTTGGCCCCATTGGTCACCCAGCCAGGCTCCTTGATGACCCCCAGACTCGTAGCCCTGCAGAGTCCCCCAAGACCACCCCACCTTCAAACCCCCGGCCCCGGGCTCCGCCCCCTAATAATACCCCAGTCCCGGGCCCCGCGCACCGGATCCGTATTTGATGTCATGCGAGTGCAGCCGCACCCTGTGTTGCGTGTTGAACAGCTTCAGCACCGACCCGCAGGTCACGAGCCCTGCGCCGGTCTTGGCGGCACCGCTGCTCGGCACCAAGAGCGTCAGCAGCAGCCCCAGAAGCGCCGGTCCGGCAGCTCTGCCGCGGCCCGCGCTCCACATCGCCCCGGCCGAGCTCCGGCAGCTCAGGCCCATGGGACGCTTCCGTCTCCGCCACCAGCCAATCCGGCTCTGACAGAGCCTGTATGGGCAGCCAATCGCCAGCCAGCACGGCGCTCCGCCTGCATTGCCATTGGGTCGGCATTGAGTGGACCCGCCCCCGGCTTTCCAGAGCGGCGACTGGGAGGGGGCTGGAGACACGAGGAGGGCTTTGATTGGTCCACGCTTCCAAGGACTCACCAATGAATGCTAAGGGAAGGTTGGTGCGGCGCCGAGAGGTTAGAGAGACGCTGCGGAGCGGCGCTGTAGTTTCGGGCGACCCACCCAGGGGCCGCTGAAACCCTGGACACCTGGCTGGGGATCCCAGGACCCTGCGGGCACGTGTTCACAAAACCCCTTGATCTTGGATCGTCGGGCTTTCAATCACGATCTTTCCTCTCAACTCTGGGTCCTCAGCTTCAGGGTTCCTGGACCACTAGATTTTGTGGTCACGAGGTCGATGGATCTCAGATACTGGATAACTTGGTTCTTCAGTCCCTAGATCCCAGGATTAGTTAATTCCCCAGTCATTCGGTCATTGCCACCTTTCTGAGAATGGGTCACCTCAGTCCCTGGACCCTGGGGTTTTTTAATTCCCCTGGCAACTCACTGACTCTTTCCAGGGCAGAATCACATGCACTCGGCCATTGGGCAGCAGAGGGCAGCAGGGATCTGTGGTGTTGAGGATAATGATAGGTTCTCACCAGAAAGCCCCAAAGTGTCTTAGGAAACCAGAACCCTGGGAGACCAAATGACTGTGGGTACTAAGTGTGCCAGGTTTCCGATATGAGTGGGTCGCTGTCTCAGTGCCTTCTCAGAGGGCTGTCAGCTCAATCTTCAAGGGAGGAAAACTTATACGACTGTTTATTTATTCATTTGTGGAACATTCTTATGTTGACTTAACTCCAGGCCCTGTGCTGGGGGCCACTGGGGAACTGGCTCTGGGCTACATTACTCAATGGGCTGACTACCCATGCACTTGAGGCACCAACAAAGCAGGGAGAAAAGTTTAATTAAATCATTCAGAATTTTGCATTAAAAAAATCCAGAGTAAAGTCATTTTAATTACAGCAACATGTAATTTGGGGGTTTTTGTGTTTAATAGTGTTTCTATTTTGAATTACATATGGGATAAGACACTTGATCTTTTCAGGGTTTAGGGTGTCTAAATTGCTAAAGGTCTGCCCTGGCAATGGCAGACCCTGCACTCACTTGAGGGGCCTCCACTCCACGGTGGAGGGGCTAGAGTATAATCTGGGAAGCAATGGATATGTCCTCTTGGGCATACCAACAAGCATCTCAGACTTAATATGTCCAGAGCAGAATTCTTGGTCTCCTCCCTCAAACTTCTCCCCCCTCTCCCCAAGGCTTCTGAGTCTCAGTAATGGCACCTCCATTTGCCTTGATTCAGCCCCCAAATTGGGACTTATCTTTAATTCCTCTCTTTACCACATTTCTCACATCTCATCCAACACATCTTGATGGCTCTAAATCCAAAACAGATTGTAAAGCATCTCTCCTGCTTTCCTTATCACCACCCTAATCCAAGACACTCTCCAGATGGATATCTATCGATATCGGTATTGCCTCTCCAGATATGGACCATTGCCTCCTGATAGATTTCAGTACTTCCACTGCTCAGTCCCCTCCAAATCACTCTCCACACAGGGAAATGATTTATACCTTAGAAAGCATATATCAGGGGGCACCTGGCTGGCTCAGTCAGTAGAGCATGTGACTCTTGATGTCAGGGGTTATGAGTTCATGACCCACGTTGGGTGTGGAGCCTACTTTAAAATTTTTTTTTTAATCAGGGGTGTCTGGCTGACTCAGTCGGTGGAGCATACAACTCTTGATCTCCGGGTTGTGAGTTTGAGCCCCATGCGGGTGTAGGGATTACTTAAAATCTTAAAATATATATATATATCAAATCATGCCAAGCACCTGCTTAAAGCTGCCAACAGCTTCCTACTGCATATAAGACCAGAGGATGGTGAGGACACAGCAGGCAATCTCCCCCACAGGCAAAAACAGGATTCCAAGTATAGCAAAGACCCCAGAACTGGAGTAAGAGAAGCCAACGTGGTTGTCCCTCAACTTTCTCAGGGCCTCATGCCTTCTCACAGCTATTCCCTTTCCCTGCCTACCCCCTGCAGACCACCTTCCCCAGCTCACCCTATGGGCAGATGCTCAGGGCGGATTATGGTGTCTCCACAGACCTCCACTTTCCAGTCACAGATTGTCTTCAGGTTCACATGCTCATCTGCTCAACTTGGTTCCAGGGATTGCTCAAGGTGCAATCAGCTACGGGGCGGGGAGCGGGGGGGTGGTAAGCTGGCCTCCAAATATGGCTAGGAACAATTCCTCCCATCCCCATAGGTGTAAGCTGCTTCTCTCATCAAGACATGGACTCTCTCATCAAAACACTGAATCTGGGCCGGCATGGCAATTTGCTTTGACCAAGAAAATGGCACAGAAATGCTGTTTTGGGACTTCAGAGCACAAGCTGCAAGAGGACTAGTGTTTCTTGCTTCACATTCTCTAGATATGTGCTTCTGAGGCCAAGGTGGGGATATGTTCTCTTCCCCCCCCCTTGAGGACTTGGCAGAGAGCCTTGGAAAGTTGGCAGGTATCGTGCAGGCTACCGTGTCTCAGAGCCCTAGGGCTCCCCTCCAGGCTCTTTTCTTCCCCCCCTGCCCCAGGCTCTTTTATGCAGACAGAGTTTCTTTCTTTTTTTTTTTTTAAGATTTATTTATCTGAGAGAGAGAGAATGAGAGAGAGAGAGCACACGAGAGGGGGGAGGGTCAGAGGGAGAAGCAGACTCCCTGCTGAGCAGGGAGCCCGATGCGGGACTCGATCCCGGGACTCCAGGATCATGACCTGAGCCGAAGGCAGTCACTTAACCAACTGAGCCACCCAGGCGCCCCAGACAGAATTTCTTGCCTCTCTGGGGAGGGCTGGGAGATGGCCGCGCCACACTGTCCACACTGGTCTTTAGCGATCAGTGCAAATTGCGCCAGAATCTCCCAGTCTATCTTGGGGCTCCTGGCTGGCTCATTTGGAAGAGCATGTGACTCTTGATCTCCGGGTTGTGAGTTCAAGCCCCACGTTAGGTGGAGAGATTACTAAAAATAAACTTAAAAAAAAATCTCTCGGTCCATCCCAATTACCAGCTCCTGGGGAAAAAATACCTGACTGGCCTGGCTTGGAATAGGGATGTATCAAGAGGGCTAATCAACTGTGGCCAAGTGGTATGGCAAGAAGGTACAAGAATGTTGTGGCCCTACACTACAGTGGTGGTGGCAGTGGGTGGCCTCAGGGAATGGGCCTTATGAGCTGAGCATATGCCCTAAAAGATCCTTGCCACAAGAGCTTTCTGGAACAATGGGTCCCTGACCCACCCACCTTAGGGCCCCGGTCCCTCTTGACTGGAGCAGAGGAAGTGTTTCCTCCCGAATTGCAGAGCATGGATGTGGTGTGGAAGGTCCTCCCTGCCCGGCTCCGGAGCAGCTCTATAATCGCTTTGTCTTCACACGTGGGCCACTGAGCACGGTCAGGCTGGGTTCAGCAGACTTGGGCTCTGGTGGGATTCACCCAGGCGGGATCCAGGGGGAGGTGTGGGACACCTGCCAGTCTCCCTGCACTGGCAGCCTACACAGCAAGGCAGAGTGGAGCATCTTCACATGCTCTCTTGGCCACAAGGGTGACAGGGTGGTGGTGAGAGGTCAAGCGGATCCCTGGGTGAAGATGCCTGGATTGGGGAACAAAAAGGCTGCCCTGGGAAGGCAGAGAGGGAGAGGGTGCTGAGCTGGTGGCACAGGATGGCCAGAAGCCCCAGGAGAACCTTGGAGATGAGACCTGCCAATCACAACAGCAGCCAAGTCTGCAGACCCTTCCAGAGAGAGCTGTCTGGCCCAGGGGCACTGCTGAAAGGGGGTAATCACATGGCCAGCCTGGGGCAGCCAACTCACAGTTTGCCAGACCGGCAGCCCTCATGGGACCTAGCTTGGACCCTCCAGATTCGGGAGTTGGAGATGGGAAATACAAATTAGAAAGACAGGGGGCATCAGGAAAGGGCGACTGCATGGTTCCCCGAGAGGAACGTGAGGGTGCAGCATGTCAGAGGGAGCATGATGCTGCCCTGGCAGAGGAGGAGCCCTCTGGAAGCAGGACCATGATGCACAGGGACTGTTAGGGAAAGAGACCATGAGTCCTAAGAGGCTGGAAGAGCCAGGAAGGTGCACACTGGAGTGGAGGAAGAGCCCGGAGCAGGGACTTGTATTCAAGCAGAGCACGTTAGGTCAGGGGGTCGGAGCACGGCAGCTGTCAGGAAGGCCTGCCGGAGGTGTTACTCCAGGGCAGGTGCTCAGGCCTGCAGAAGTGGGGCTGCAATCTCTGGTCGAGAAAACTGTGCTCCATCAACACTAGCTTTATTTCCCCCACTGGCTCCCCTGACAGGCCAGCAGAGCTCCTCGTGGGCATCCAGCCCACCCTGACCTCTGCTCAGGGCAGGGACCGGCTGGGGGCGGGGGGGCAGGGCAGCAGTCCATTGGAGCAAGAGAGGAGCAGGGAATCAAGTGCTGGGTGCAGCTTACAGGGGGCCTCACGGAGGGTCGCTGCGGCCCACGTTTGTGGAGTGGCTGAGCCCCATCTCCACTTGAGGCTTGGGGGAGCTCTGGGATGGGCCATTTTCCCCTAGGAAATCCTCCTCCTCCTGCTCATCCTCTTCCTCCTCATCACTCTGACTGTCCATGTCTACTACTTCCTGATGCTGATGAGAGCCCATGCCTGGGCCGGAGAACACGGAGGGCTTGGGCTCTTGCTGGCTCGCGGGTTCCTGCTCCTCGGCTGTAGTATCCTCCGGAGCCGTGGGCAGCTGAGAATCGGGAAACTCACTGTCAAAGCTGAACTCCGTGGCCTCCTCCTGATCCGCTTGGGTGGCCGGCTCCAGCAGCGTGGAGAGGGACTCCATGCTGCTGTGGGGCGCCCCGTGGTGGGGGGCCCCGTGGTGCGGGGCCCCACAGTGGATGGTGCCGTGGTGGGAGCTGCGCTGGGAGGCGGAGTCATGCTGGGATGCTTGTCTGGACAGCTGCCGGGCCCACTCGGCCTCCTCCAGCCTGCGCAGCAGACAGCTCCAGTCGATCTTTGAGGACAGGCAGATGCGGGAGCCCTTCACCTTCTTGAAGCCCAGGAAGAGGTCCATGAGCGTCTCAGTGACAGGGAAGGAGATGAAGCCCAGCTGCTTGGAGAGGTTCTTCTCGAACTTGTACTTGTAGATGAGCAAGGACACGACCTGCTCCACCAAGTAGCTGACGAGCTCCTCGTACAAGGGGTTGGAGAGGTGGGATATGGTAGACTTGGAGGAGATGGAGGGTAGTGGCTTCTTCCTCATGAACTTGTAATTGGGGCTCTGTGCAACAGTCGGGGAGGGAAAGGGAGACACGTCATGCCACTCCCAATGCCTTAGGGTGCCCCTCACACCCAGAACACCCTCCACGTCACCCACACAGATGCCACGCTTGTCGTCACACTAGCCGTACGGCCTTGCCCCATCTGCTATGCTCAGTCCACAGCTTGAGCACACGTCCTGCGTGTCAGCCGCACCCTCACACTTACCACAATGGCCTCCTCACGCTGACCACACCAGTCAGGCCTGCGGCAAGGCTGGTGACGTCAGTCATGGCGTCAGCCAAACTGGAGCCTGGATAACCTGGGCTCTGGTAGGTTCTCCCCCAGGCTAAGGTTCAGAGGAGGGAATCCTGCCTGGGCCTTGATGGGTGAGACGAGAGTCAGGGGCTGTGGTGGGGACCTACCAGGGTGAAGCCACCTTTGTCTTCTCCATACCCTTCCTGAGTAACTCCCTCTCAGCAGACACACTGGAGAGTCCTGGCCTAGGTAGTGGAAGCAGAGGGAGCTGGACCTAGGATGCAGAGCCCCACTCTGGCTTAGGCTGCTGTCCACAAGGGACAGGACGCTGCCCACATAGAAGGGCCTCTGAGATTCACATGCAAACATTACAAAAATACCCAGGATAAAAAATAGGCTTTATTCATCTTTGACCACACCTGGCAGTAGCTAGGCCAGGATTTCTGCTCCCCATCAGCTTGTCACCTGCTCAGGTGGTTTCCACTGCGCAGGGCAAGATACCTGGGACAGTGGTTGCTAAAGGTGGTAGTTGAAGGAGCCTTTCCCATGCAGATCTTTCCTTAAGCTTCCTAGCCCCACCCTTGAGGTCTTGTCTGGGTACAGTGAAACAGGAGATGGGGAGAAGCTTCTTACCGAGGAGGCAAGTGGCGAGAGCACAGGAAGGTGGTGGGAGAAGCCAGGGCAGGGGGAGGTGAGAGGAGCTATGCCCCGGGTGGTGGGCTGGGTCTGGCTGGAGGACCCTTCCACCACGATCCTAGGGGCAGGCAGGGTGGGGTGCATGCTCCACCAGGGATGGGCCTTCTGGCTGGAGCTCAGGGGCCCAGAAGAAGGTATGTGTGGTCTCTGTACTTCAGGGTCCTGGTCAGGAGCCTCCTGTCTGGGGTGGGGTGAGGGAACCTTGGGTTCTTCTGTGGGTGTCACCTCGATCCTGAATCTGGTGGCCACTTGGGTACTAGACACAGGGGAACCACCTTCCTTGGGCTGGGCCCGTCCTCTGCCCTTGGTGCTCTTTCTTGGAATCATCTTGGAGCTGGAGACTTGGGTGGGAAGCACATCGTAGGGCTCCTCCCCGTCGGTGGGTGTGGCTGGCTTGGAGCCTGTTGTGGAGTCAGAATTGGGCTCTGTTGGGGGCTCCCATTCTGATGGGAAGAGAGGGCAGCCATCATGGCGGCAGGCTCCACTGAGCTTGTCCACAGCCTGGCGGACCACACTCTGCAGGGCGGGGAAGAGGTGGTGCTCAGCCAGGAAGTCCAGGGTCTGATAGGGCTCACGGAATGAACAGTAGCCAGGCAGGTCAAAGGACGCTGGCTGGCTCAACAAGGACTTGATCTCCTTATCAAACCCTCGCTTGAGGAAGGTCAGTTCCTGTTCTCCAGGCCCGGGCTCTGATGTTTGCGGTGTCCCTGTACTTGAGTCCAGCAGGCCTGAGAACCAGGACAGAGGTGGCTCCTGGGTCTGGGTCCACTGGCTGCTGGCCTGGCTGCCCAGTGAGTCCCACAGCAGGGAGTCCCTCCGGAAGCAGGACTGACCCAGGCCTTTCTGCAGAGAGAGGGGGGCTTTCAGGGGCATCCAAGAGCAGCCAAGCAAGGCCTAACCCTGGCCCTGGGCTCTGGACTGGGGTCCATCCCGCCCACCCTGGGCCATGGCCCTAGATCTCACCCCTCTGTTCTCCAGCTTCAGCAGCCGTTTGAGGTTCTTCTCCAGCAAAAGCCTGTCCCTCATGGATGGCAGTGAGCCCTTGCCACGGGTGCCCAGGTCACTGTCCTGGCCGTGGGAGCCCAGCCAGCCAGCTGTGAAGCTGCTATGGGAGTCAGATGTGGAACTGGAGGAGGATGGGTAGTTGTTGGGCCACCCAGTGCAGAGGCTGGGCCGGGCCCGGTGCCTGTGCGCGGTACTGAGGCTGGGCCGGGCGCGCACCCGCCGCCCACCCCTTGGCACCTCTATCGGGTCCTGCACCTCCACCAGTGGCACCCCAGCCTCTGTCTTCATAGTGGTCATGCGCTCAGTTGCCTCTTCCACCACCGTCTGTAGGCTGTCTAGCACCTGACCCTCGACGAGGAAATCCAGGAAGCTACCAAAGGGCCGAGGGTCCCTTGGGTTTCGTCGGTGGCCACGGAGCCTTAAGCTGTCTGTGGGGGTGTACCTCGATGGTGGGTGCGGCATGTGGCCCAACTTGGAGGCTTGCCCCATTTCCGGGAACAGTGGCTTCTTAGGCGGCTGCACCAGAGCAGACAGGCATGTCACATAGGGCAGGGATGTTCCACAGGGGTAGCGTCCCTGCAGGTCCTCCTAGGGTGCCAAGAACTAAGTGGGAGTGGGCAGTGGAAGGAAGTGTGCTTTGGAGTCAGGAAGTTCCTGGATTTGGACCCTAGCTCTGCCACTGCAGGCTGACACCTGGGCACGATGGCCCCTCTTGAGATCCAGTTTCCTCTTCTGCGAAGTAGGGATCGATTTCGGGTCACCCTGATGCTTCCCTGACACATAGATTTCATATATACAAGATGTGGCTAGGGAGCTTGCAAGCCCACTTCTGCCCTCACACAGGGCAGGAATGGGCAATCACAAACCCCTCTGAGTCCTACTTGGGCTCCTCATCTGTACTTTGAGCAGACCAGCCCTGTCTCCACTATACAGACCACCTGTAGTCCTGACCCCTGGGCCCCCCGTGGCTGCTTCTGAAACTTTGAGGCTTGGGCCCTGAGTAGACTCCATGCTCCCACTCGGGTACCACTCTACCAAGCTCCTCCAGAGCTGCTAGAGGTCAGGGGACACGGTGAATGAAATTGCAGGTGACTAGGGCCCAGCGGGCGGTCAGAGGAGTGGTCAAGGTGATAAGGATGTCACTAAGAGGCTCAGAGATGAGGTCAATAGGCACTGAGAAAGGGGGGCTGTGATCTGGGGTGCTGGAGCTGGTGGAGAACATTCTGGGGCATCTTGGGAGTCAGGGCCCTGCCGGACACACTTACCCGGGCCACGTAGGTGGTGTGGCCGGCCTCGTCGTCTGCCAAGTATCCGGAATGGTGGCGGCAGCTGGTCATGGTGAGGATGCACCGGCCGGCTATCCTCCTCCTCTCGGGTTCCGCAGCGCAGCCACTGATGCCTCTCTGCGCCGGGCGGGGAGATGGCGTGAGGGTCTCCCTAGGCCTCCGTGAGTCCAACTCTCCCTTCGTCTGTCAGCCACTGCGTCAGCGGTCCCGGGGTCCGCGGGTCCCTCGCTCCCCTCACCCCACGTCCTTCACGCGTCGGGCCCTTCCGCTGCTCGGCGTCCCCTGGGCGTCTGCGCACCGTCCGTGTCCAGAGTCGTCGGGGGTGGGGTCCCCAAGGACGTCCGCATGCTGTCTCCGACCATCTCTGGGCCTGAGTGTGTCCGACCCTCCCTCCTCCTAGACCCAAAACTCCCTGGCGTCTGCCCCTGGCCCAGAGCAGACCTGCTCACCAGAGTCCGCGCCTCGCTCGGTGCCAGTCAATGTAGTCTGCGCCCTCTCCAGGGCGGCGACACCGGGCTCTGGAGTCGCCCCCACCTTCCCCGCTTGCTCATTTACATGCTACGTCCTGATTGGCTCGCAATGCCTTCTAGCCCCCCATCCGACACAATGGCTGGGGTCGGGACCCAGACCGGCCCCTCCCTCGCCGCTCTGTCTTTGCCCCGCCCACATTCGCAGTGGTGTCAGGGAATGCTTCTGACTGCTCCCACAAGCCAGGAGGAGTCAGGCTGCGCACCTGAGGGGAGCCCTAAAGGGTCAAAGCCACGGCCTCCTCTGGTGACAGAAGCACTTTCCTCGACTCCACTCTGGTCGCTGCGTTTCCTGGGCTCCTGCTCTCTGACTGCTCCTACCTAGGGTTCTCCCCTCCCCCAGCGTGGACAACCCCAGTGGGGATTGGGGGTGGGGGTGGTCTTCAGCCCTCCCCCCTCTGCGGTGTCCCTGAGCGCAGCGTACGAGTCCCAGTTCTAAGGCATAGACCTAGCTTCAATTCCTAGCTCTGCTGTTTCCTGACAGTGTGACTCAACCTCTCTGATCATCTGCTCCTCCTCTATAAATAACTGAGCGTCCTTCCATATGGGAGTATGGAGATTAAACCAAATCTGCGTACAACACACCCAGCACTCCAATAAGAGCCCTGGGTATCTCTCTCTCCTTTCCCTCCTTTCCCCCTAAGCCCAGTAAACTAATGTCCCTTCCAGGTGTCACCTCCTCTGAGAAGCCTTCCCAGAAGGCCTGCCACCCCAAACAGAATTACCAAAAGCCCCATTCCAGACTCTGCCACTTGTATTGCTACTTGTCTACCAGATGGTGTTCCTTGGGGGTACGAACTGAGGCACTCCCCCCTAATCTCTAATATTTCCAATACCAGTAGGTGCTGAATAAATGTCAATTTCCTCTTTCCAATCTGCTTGCCATCAGGGCCTCTGGCTTTCCAGGATCAGCTTCCCAGGGGAGAAAGATAGTTGAAGTCCAACAATTCAATAATCACAACTGAACACAACAATCCTTATGCCAAGAGCTTGATGAAGAGCACGATGAGGCCTCTGATCTGTACAACATCCCACGAGGAGCATATGATTTGTTATGCTCAAGCTCAGCTCTGCCCTCTCTGCCCCTGACCCAGAGGAGAGCTAGGGACTAGACAACCAGAGTAGGCACAACCAGAGTAGGCCCAGAGCTTTGGAGGCCAGTCCCAGCTCCACTACTCCTGGCAGGCTCACTTTGGGCAAGACACTTCTCCCCTCTGAGCATCAGTTTCCTCATCTGTAAAACAGGAATGACATTACCAACCTCATGGGCTGGACACAAATGCTGTACTTTCCATTGGGAACATCAGCGTAGCCACATCACAATAAAAACTCTCTGTCAACCATGGTGACTATTTGTATAGTCATCAGTAAGGCAAGTTTTTCTGGACTACAGAGGGAAAAAAAATGAGATTATAAATGTAAGTTGTAGCCTGACACAGAGTTCAAGTTGTGGAATCAGGGACTAACACGTCCTCAAACGAAGCCATTGGTATAAATGTTTTCTAACTTAGAACTTTTATTTTAAGAAAAAGAAAGAACGAACGAAAGAAAAAGCCTCTTCCTAGAAAAAAATGTAGTCAATGTAGTCTGCGCCCTCTCCAGGGCGGCGACACCGGGCTCTGGAGTCGCCCCCACCTTCCCCGCTTGCTCATTTACACATTGCCTATTTGGCAATTTGAAAAAGTTCATAGTCACTATCAAAAAATGACACATTACAAGAACGAGATAACATTGATGTGATCATTATCGTCTCAAAACAACACAAAACTTTGGGGTGGGGGAGAAAAGGAATCGGGTTTATTTGCTTAGAAAAGTATTGGAAGGACACTATCCAGAAAGTTAACAGTGGTGAACTTACGGAAAGGTACGATAATTTTTTTTTTCCAACAGGGTTTTTTTCTCCTCCTATTTTTCATATTTCTTTTAAAGATTGTATTTACTTGAGAGAGCACGAGCAGGGAGGACGGACAGAGGGAGAGGGAGAAGCCCACGCCAGGGTGAGCAGAGAGCCCCATCCGGGGCTAGATCCCAGGGCCCTGAGACCATGACCTGAGCCGAAGGCAGACGCTTAACCGCCTGAGCCACCCAGGCGCCCCTGTATTTTTCATGCTGAATAACGTTTTTGCAGTTGCTGAAAGTTCCGTTTTGCAATATCCAGCCATGGTGTTTGGTTAGGGCGAGCGCACTGTGCGGTGGGAGGGGATCGCTGCTGGCCCACACCGGGACCGGTAGGTGGCGAGAACAAAGACCAAGCGCAGCGGCGCCGGGGCGTGCGCGTCGGGGCGGAGCCTCGGACTGCGTCTAGGGTGGGGCTTGGATCCAGTCCTCCAGAGTCCTGAGCAGTCCCTAGGAGTAATCCATGGCTCGACCGCGCGTGCTGCTGGTGGTCACCGCCGACGACTTTGGTTACTGCCCGCGGCGCGATGAGGGCATCGTAGAGGCCTTCCTGGCAGGGGCTGTGACCAGCGTGTCCCTGCTGGTCAACGGCACAGCCGCAGAGAGCGCGGCGGAGCTGGCCCGCAGGTGAGTGGCTGCACCCTACAGGGTCTGGGCGGGCTTGGGGAGCCGCCGCTCCGGCCGCCAGTGCTCCCGTTCGCGCTCCGCCTGCAGGCACCAAATCCCCACGGGCCTCCACGCCAACCTGTCCGAGGGCCGCCCCGTAGGCCCGGCGCGCCCCGGCGCCTCGTCGCTGCTCAGCCCCGAAGGCTTCTTCCTCGGCAAGATGGGATTTCGAGAGGCGATGGCGGCCGGAGACGTAGCCTTGCCCCAGGTGCGGAGGTTCGGCTGCAGGAAGAGGCTCGCGTTGACCCCCAAGGCTCATCCCGAGGGTACCGTGAAGCCATTAGGGGCAGGGTCGCGCGATGGATGCTTTCCTGGTTCATACTGGAGCAGTCACGCAGAGGCACTTGGAGGGAGTCCTAGGTTGCTGCTTCCCGACATTCAAGGTGCCTTGTCGTTCTCTCTCCAGGTGCAGGAAGAGCTGGAGGCCCAGCTGATACGCTTCCGAGAATTACTGGGCAGGGACCCCACTCACGTGGACGGGCACCAGCACGTGCACGTGCTCCCAGGTTGGGGGGTCGTTGTTCCCTGGTGGGGCGCCCGGGATGAGAGGTGGTCCCAGGTAGGGATGAGAGGTGGTCCCCGGTAGTAGGCCGTGCTACTTCCTGACTCCTCCCCGCCCGCAGGCGTGTGCCAGGTGTTCGCAGAGACGCTGCAGGCCAACGGGGTGCGCTTCACACGGTTGCCGGTGGAGCGTGGGGTGGACCGCTGCGCGTGGCTCGAGGCCCCCGCGCAAGCTTTCGCCTGTGCGGTGGAGCGCGACGCCCGGGCCGCTGTGGGCCCCTTCTCCCGCCACAGCCTACGGTGAGGCCCTCCGCCCCTGTCCCGCCCATATCCCGCCCATATCCCAGTGGGTCCTGCTGGCCCTTCACCTGACAGCCATGGCCGTTCCTCAGGCGTCCACTGACGTCGCCCCCACCCCAGCCCTGCCCATCACAGCCCTGCTGGTCCTCGCCGCTGATGCCCCTACATCCACAGGTGGACGGATGCCTTCGTGGGCCTGAGCACCTGCGGTCGGCACATGTCTGCTCACCGCGTATCAGGAGCGCTAGCTCGGGCCCTGGAAGGCATACCCACGGGCCACACCCTGACAGCTGAGCTGATGGCACACCCTGGCTACCCTAGTGTGCCTCCGTCCGGGGGCTGCGGTGAGGGCCCCGATGCCTTTTCCTGCTCTTGGGAGCGGCTGCATGAGCTGCGTGTCCTCACCGCGCCCACACTTCGGGCCCGACTTGCACAGGATGGAGTGCAGCTCTGCACACTCCACAGCCTAGACTCCAAGAGGCCTGGGGAAGCGGTCCTTGGAGAAGCCAGTCTGGAAACATTCCTGGAGCCCTCCCCACCATTCCCCTGACAGCCAGCCAAACATAAATGTCCTTTAGTGCACAGTGTCAAGCCCTGGGACAGCCTAGAACGAGGCCGAGAGCAGGGATCCAGTAACATACTTCCCTGGGCAGGCCCCTGTCACCTCTGTGTCCAGGTCCTCATGGCTCAGAATGGTGGCCAAAGCTTTGGCAACCCATCTTGGCTGCTGGCAGGTAGGCCCTGTGACATCTGAGCCTGGGGCCTGCCAAAGCATCTTCCTTGTTCAGATATGGTAGAGAGAGAGCGCTGTATTAATAAAATGTATGTCTTGTAAATTTGGGTGGTTTTTATTTTTTTTAAAGAGTTTATTTAAAGAGAGAGAAAGAGAATGATCGGGCGGGGGGGAGCAGAGGGAGAGAGAGAGAAGCAAACTCCCCGCTGTGGGGCTCGATCCCAGGACCTGGACATAATGACCTAAGCCGAAGACAATCGCTCAAACCGACTGAGCCACCCAGGGACCCCAAGTTTGGGTGGCTTTTAAACTGTGCCCTGGGAACTGTGAAAACGTTCAGACACAAGACAGGGCAAACGCAACTCCTTCAGGGCCCAAACCAGGTCATTATAACAGAATAGATATGCAAAACATACTCCAAGTTCTAGTTTTGTTCATGCTTAAGTTTATTATTTTGGGGGGAGGGAGGTTGGGAGAAGAATGTCTCACCAGGCTACTTTTTGGAAGGTAATATTATAAGCTCAAATTTTATTTAAAAAGTCACTTGTTTTTCTTCCTCTTCCCCTAAGCGGCCTGAGGTGACCTCTGAAAATGGTTCGCTATTCGCTTGACCCAGAAAACCCTACGAAATCATGTAAATCAAGAGGTTCAAATCTTCATGTTCATTTTAAGAACACACGTGAAACTGCTCAGGCCATCAAGGGTATGCATATCCGAAAAGCCACCAAGTATCTGAAAGACATCACTTTACAGAAGCAGTGTGTGCCATTCCGTCGCTACAATGGTGGAGTTGGTAGGTGTGCCCAGGCCAAACAGTGGGGCTGGACACAGGGTTGGTGGCCCAAGAAGAACGCTGAATTTTTACTGCACATGCTTAAAAATGCAGAGAGTAATGCTGAACTAAGGGTTTAGATGTTGATTCTCTGGTCATTGAGCACATCCAGGTGAAAAAAGCCCCCAAGATGCGGCGTAGAACGTACAGGGCTCATGGTCGGATTAACCCATACATGAGCTCTCCCTGCCACATTGAGATGATCCTTACTGAAAAAGAGCAGATTGTTGCTAAACCAGAAGAGGAGGTTGCACAGAAGAAAAAGATATCCCAGAAGAAACTGAAGAAACAAAAACTTATGGCCCGGGAGTAAGTTCTGAAGAATAAATACAAATAAAAAGAGAAAAAAAAAGTCACTTGTTTTGTTGTTGTTTTGCGGGGCTTGACCTCACAACTGTGAGATCGAGACCTCAGCTGAGATCAAGAGTTGGAAGCTTAACTGACTGAGCTACCCAGGCACCCCGAAAGTCACCTGTTCTAAACAGGCATCGCTTTGCCAACCTAGGGGCAGATCTAAGGAGGTCCTGAAAGCCTATTTAAAGTTTTCCAGAAGGAACAGTCTTCTGTGGAAATGGGATCCAGGACTCCTCACCAGACCTGGTAATGTGTACATGCCCTGTCACTGGGGCTCATGTGTCTTGGATCAAGGAGAGGCAGGGCGCAGATGGGGAAGGTGGCAGGGAGTTCTTGGGAGCAGAGAGCCCCACTCTCGAGTGTGGAAAGGCAGATGGAATAATGATCCTTCCTGTCTCATTTATTTTTTTTTAAATCTTATTTATTTATTTATTCATGAAAGTCAGAGAGAGAGGCAGAGGCAGAGGGAGAGAAGCAGGCTCCCCGCCTAGCAGGGAGCCCGATGCGGGACTCGATCCCAGGGCCCTGGGATCATGACCTGAGCCGAAGGCAGACGCTTAACCATCTGAGCCCCCTTCCTGTCTCATTTAATCTCACATAATCCCCTATGCACAGGGACCAATATCTCCATCTTACAGACCAAGAAGTAGAAGTGGCAGAGCAGGGCTTTGAAGCTACCTGCTCATTTATTCACCATGCCGTGTCAGGCAAGGAATCGGGCGCCCAAAGAGCTCTCTCAGCCTAGGCAGCCCTGAGGGATGTATAGCTTTCTGAAGGGGTAAGGGTGGGATCTTGCTCCTCCTTCCTGCTGCCCCCATCCTACACCTCTACCCCCTTGACTGTGGCTTCAGCCCATTCTTTTCTGGCTCCATCTTTCTTTCTTTCTTTCTTTTTTTTTTTTTTTAAGATTTTATTTATTTGAGAGAGAGAATGAGAGAGAGCACATGAGAGGGGGGAGAGTCAGAGGGAGAAGCAGACTCCCTGCTGAGCAGGGAGCCCGATGCAGGACTCGATCCCGGGACTCCAGGATCATGACCTGAGCTGAAGGCAGTCGCCCAACCAACTGAGCCACCCAGGCGCCCTGGCTCCATCTTTCATACTAACCTTCCCTTGACCATGATTCTTTCAGCAACAGGCCCTTTCCTCCTACCCTTCCTCCGTGGCTGTAAACTGAAATCACTTAGTCCCTCCTAGTGCCTTGCCCTCACCTCCTTGCCTCAGCCCAGTGGGGTCTGGCCACATTCCTGCAGGCTGCTGGCTGGAGCTGGTAGGGGTGGCCTGAAGGCAGCCTGTTGGCACAGAGGCACCTCCTTTGGGGGGGCGGTAGGGGATTCCACTATTTTGACAGGAGGAGGCAGCTGGCTGTGGGGCTCTGAGACTCAGGACAGAGGTGTGGGTGGACAGGAGAGATTTGGGGTCTGCACAGACAAGATGAAGGTGCGGAGTGGGCTCCTGTTGCTCAGGGAGGGAGAGAGGAGTGAGCGGGCTGAAGGCCCAGATCAGCCCTAGGGACCATGAGCATGTAACAGTGGAGAGAAGACAGGGGCCATGGCCACACTGGTAGAATAATCTGGAGACCGAGGTCCACCTCACAAGGGGAGGGAAAGTGATAAGGCAGAAGGCTGCAGGCCGTACAGGGCCTGTTGCGGAGCTGGTCATTAGGAGCCCCACTGGGGAGATGGGGGTATTCCTACATCAAACCTGCTGTGCACTGGGTGGCTTAGGCAAGGGGTTTACTGTTCTCCACCCATTCATCAGTTATGGAACGAAGGTCTATTGTGGGCCGGGCCAGGGCTGGGTGCCAGGACAGACCAGCCTGCAAGGAGCTCAGTCTGGCACGAACACGGGGATAGCTAGTGTGATCCGGACTGCAGAGGGAGGGGACTGGGGGAGGAACACAAAGCAGAGTGTGGGGCAAAAGGGGATTCCTAACCAAGTCAGGCCTGCTTGGAAAATGCCCTCTGAAGAAATGACTTCTTTCTCTGGGCCTCAGTTATGACCTCCGCTGTCAGGCAGCCCTTTGCGCTCTGATCCTCTGAGAGGCATGTAGGGTGCCCCAAGGAGCCCTTCTGCAAGAACGTGTTCCAATCACCCAGGAAACAGCTATCTAGCAAGTACCGCCTGAGCCAGGCTACCTTCATCTCTGCTCGTTCTCCAGCTGGTGCCATCACCCCGTGCTGCATGAGGGACGCAGGGAGAGGAGGAAGAGCCAGTGCAGACGGGGCAGGAAGAACCAAGACCAGCTCTGGCTTTGCCTTCGACCGGGTCAGGGGGCTGCCCTGGCAGGGTGGGACATGGAGGTGCTGCCAACGAAGAAAGAGAGCGGGGCTGAGAGGCCGCCAGCCTGTGGACTGCGCAGTGAGGAAGTCCTGGGGCCCTTGCCAGAGGAAGCCTCAGGGAGCCAGGGGCTGACAGAAGCCAGGCTGCCATGGGCACTGGAGTGATGAAGTAGATGTGTATTTTGAGCTGAACAATTAATACAAGAGTGAGGAAGGCAAGAAAATGGTGGCTCCGGAGTTGAGAAAGTTGAGAGAAGGTCCCGTAGGGCTCCGGATTTGGGAAGGGTCAGGCTCCAAGGAACCTGAGGGGTGGACTGTAACAGGCTCTGGAGCTAGACTGTAAAAACCCAGGCCTGGTTTCCTTGGCTGTCACTGAACCTCAGTCTCTTCCTCTGTAAAAATAGGGATAATGGTGTCCATGGCGTTGTCTGGAGAGTCACGGAGGATGAAGTGCTAGAACACGGCAGAGTACCCTGCTGATGATCAAGGGAAAGGACCGGCTCCTTGCTTCCTGGTAAAAAGACATCCCAGGAAGGTTCCTCCTGGACACCTGCAGACCTATCTGACAGGGCAGGTCTGGTCTCCGCTGGTGTCAAATTCCAGACAGGGAAATAAGAAACAAGCATCACGGCCCCATGCTGCGTCAATACTACAACAGGAGGTCACTGGGACTTGGAGGCCAGATTCCTGGCTGGAATCATTCAAGGAAATGGCCTAGCCCCAGCCTCAGGCACACCCTCCTGAGTTTGGTGATGTTGAACAAGACAGCCACCCTTCCTCAGGGACTCAGTCTGCTCCTCTAATAGTATCACTCTCTTGGGACTGAGAAGTGTACTGAAATGAGGCATATACATAGAGGCCACTGTCCCCTCCCCTGACACCCAAGGTGCCCCTTGGCAGGCCCTAATGGTCTGGATCTCCAGCCTTTTTGGCTTCCCTCCTGGGAAGGCCACACACCTCTGTGCTCTCTTCTGGAAACGCTGGGCGTGGGGAGAAAGGAGCAGGCAGAAGAGCGAGCCTGGGCCCTGGCCGTCCCTCCCCCGTCTACAAGAACATAGGCCCCGGGCTCTGCCCACTCCCAGTAAGGAAGAAACCCACAAGACCAAACCAGTGTCGGAGAGCATTTTTATTAAGGGCAGCAGAACGGGATCGCGGCATCTCAGAAAGCCTATTTCTCCGTCATGGGTGTGGCGGGGAGGGGCAGGGTGGGCAGAGAGGACCCAGCGCACTCCGAGGAACCCGGCGGGCGTGAATTCCTGAGTGGGCTCGGGTCAGCGGTGGCCGCTCCACAGCTCTCCCCTTCTCCAGAGGACCCAGCTGTTTGGTTGTGCAGCAGCCAGGGCTGCCCGCCAGCGTGCTCAAAGCCTGGCCTGGGGACTGCCCAGGCTGGACGGGACAAACTGCCTAGGCCTGAGGGAGGGCCCACCCACTGCCTCGCTCTCCCAGGGCCAGGCCTCTGATGGGGCAAACCCTGGGCTGCCATGCCAGGGCTGGGAGTCCCTGAGGGGCTGCCGGCTTTCACAGAGGTATCCTCCCATGATGAGCAGAGAAGTGAGAGGGCGACAGGCGGGCAGAACTATGCTGGTAGAGATACGAAGCAATGGGACAGTCTCCAAGAATGGCAATATTTCTGGGTTCAGAGAAGCAATGAGAACAAATGGTGGCTTATTTGTATAGCTTCTGACAGAATTTGGCATTTTATTACAAATCTGCATGTGAGTGAAATAAAAGTCCATCATCACCTTTCTGCTAATGAAGAGACAGATGTGGAAACACTGGCCCGACGCGCTTGTGTTCCCGGGCACATGGGAGTCTCCAGAACCTGCCCCCGGCGTGCCTAGGACTAAAGAAGCTGAGTTCATTGACACACCGCAGGGGCCATGCACCTGGACAACTAAACAACATTATGCTGCCTAACCTACCCATCACACCCACCTCTGCACAGGTGAAACCATCTTACAGGTCTGTAAAGCCCCGGAAAGATCCCAAGTAAGAGAGCTAAAAACAGAAAGCAGTTTCTTCACGTGATCTTCTCCACAGAATCTAGCTCCCCCCTGAGGACCAAGAAGGGCAGCCGCCAGTGGCAGAAGAGGAGTTGGTGACACGGCGTCTGGACCATCGGCTTCCTCTGGGTGTCAGTGACCCGCATTCTCGATTTCAGGGGCAGTCCCGCTTGCTTTGAAAAGACATTAACATTCAAATCCTTACAAGTTCATCTGATGATAAATTCTAAGGTCAATTTTATTTCTACAAAAAAAGGCAGTCAAAACAATATAAAACACATGTAAAGGATATTACTGAGTGAGCTTCAAGTGGAGCTTGACTCTGCAAAGGCTGTTGAGTCCAGAGGGAGAGGGAAGGCCGGCTTATTCCGGGGCTGGCCGGCAGGGCACCGGCAACCCCAGACCGTTGCTGGCTACAGCCAAGTCCCGCCAATTCCAACCCCGCAAAGGGTCAAACTGTGCCGAGCGAGGGTCGCAGTGGGGCTGCGCTGCACTGAGGAGCTGGGAGAGCGAGCTCCGTGGCACATTCAGATGGAGCTTAGAGACAGGTGAGCGTGGAATTTCACAGGGACATCTGGCTTCGGCGTTGTCCGCAGTGACCAGCACGTCTTCTACAGTGGCTGCAGGGAGGAGCGTCAACCTTTGGCCGCAGGAGCCTCTCTGGCGAGAAATTCCTCACACAAATGCACAGCATCCTCTGGTCGGCAGGCCCTCCCCTGGGGTTGCCACAGACCTGGGTTTCCCCAAGCAGGCCAGGCCAGGCTGAAGTTCAATCACGCACACAGACATCAGGGTTTGCCCATTTAACCAATATTATTGTGGTAACACCAGCCAGATTTTTACAGAAGAACTGGGCCTCCCTTTTCATGGCTGGTTTTTGTTTTGTTTTGTTTCGTGGTGAGGGGGAGGTGGGGTGGTGAGTGGTGGTTTGCTTGTTTTTAAATTCTTTTTAAAGGACATTATAAATTGGAGCCAGGAGAATTTGAACCAACTCCCACACAGGGCAGTGCAACATGGGAGTAGAGAAGCCACCAGAATTGCCAGGAGCGGTCTCTTCTCCTTTGCAGAGGAGATAGCCCTGGGTCTGGGGGAAGTGAATGAGTGAAAAATAAACCAAATGCAAGAAAGTGGGAGTTGCAAAGGCAGGGGAAGAAAGGGAACTGCAACTTTTTTTTTCTTTTTCTTTTTTTTCCTTAACCATAAGGGCTAAATGTAAATTGAAGGTTTTGGATCAATTTGGACAAGAAAAGAAACACCATTCTTTTAAAGTAGATTGAAGCAGTGATTTTTAAAACAAAGAAAGCAGAACTAGAACATCTTAAATTTTTAATCCTTTCTTTACAGGTTACCTAAACCACTTTTGATTAAGAAAACTGTAGAAAGTTAGTAACTGCCACAAGCAAATGCCAGGCGGCGGCACGTGTCAATTTTCCACAGAGTCCTGCTTTGCGGGGTCTCCGCTCACACTCGCTGGAATCGGTCGCGGCAGAGTTTAGTCCACAGGTCGCTTCTCCCCGTATTTCTTTGTAAACTCTTCAGCATTCTTACAGAATTTTTTACGGTCCTTAGAGTATTCTTCAGCTAGGTCAGCCCGAAGTGGGTGCTCGGGCTGGGGGTCGTTCACCAGTGCTATGAGGGACTGGATTACTGCCAAGAAAAGGACCAGGCACCGCTGGTTAGAACAGTCTCAGAAAGGGCAACTTCTGACTGCAACACTGACTTACATCAATGTGCTTTTAAGATAAAGTGGCCTCCTGTTTATCCAAAATTCTAACCACCAGGGCGCAACCCATCTCTCCTCTGTAGTTGGGAGAAAGTGCTGGGCCACAAGCTGCTAACAAGACAGCGGGTAACTGTTCAGAGTGACACCTCCACCTCCTCCAGGAACCTTCCTGAACTGACATCTCAGGGAACCCCAGTCACTCTCACTCCCCCTTCTCCTGAACTCTGGAGATCTCGGTCCTAGCACGGACACCCCCTCACATACATATACACACACTTGCACACACAGGTGGAGCTTCTCCAGGGCAGGGACTGGGTGACGTGTCCCCTCACTACGATCGGTTCAGGGGACTTTGGTGTCTGCATGGTGTAAATGCATAATGAGCTCACCCTGGAAGACCCCTAAGAGCTTCTCAACTAGCTGAGACAGGTTCACTTGACACGCTGTCTTAACTGCTAGAAGGTAGCTAACCCTCACCAGTGTTATGCTCTCAATCCCAGAAGCAGAAATCACACCAACTGCTTGGGGTGGGCTCCACAACGCTTTCGCAAAGTACAGTAAGTCCTAGATGTCCTGGAAGGCTAGCCCTGGGATGGAAGGGCCACAGGGGAAAGGAAGGTGGGGGAGGGAGATCGAGGGGGAAGGACGGAAGGTCCAGGAACCCCAGGCTCCCTCACCTCAGAAGTGGGATGCATGTAGCCACTTCGCCTTCTCACACACGTTTTTCCTCACCCAGCCCTAATTAGGACCAACACCCCCAGAATGCTGTGTTCCTTCCCACTGCCACGTTCCTAGCAAAAAGGCATCTCTCCTCTGGATTACCGATGCCACGGATTCCTTTGCTGGGGACTGTGTTTTTCACCCCAGCATTACAAGTTATGGATTAAATGCTAGTGCTGGCTGAGCCAAGCACAAAGGCCTACCCAGCCCCTAGCTCTGCTCTGAGTGGGAGGAGCACAAAGTACCCCTGGCCAGGCAGCCAAAGCCCACTTGCCCTCACCTCTGCCTATCAGTGCTACCAGGTGAGATGGGCAATTGAGGGTTTCTGTGACCATGGTGGACACAGCTGAGGAGGGGTGGCACATGCAGGGCTGACGGGGTCCAGGCTGAGTAGGGAGGAGGGGCTGGTGGGCAAAGAGGGTGGACTGTGAAGAGCAAGCAGGAGTGAAGGGCCTGGAAGCGTCTCTGTAGGCTGAGGCAGTTTCTAATCCAATCTCCACACCACCCCCAGGGGCAGGCATTATCACCTCCCACCTGTAAATATCTCTAAGAGGAAGCAGGCCCTGCAAGTATATTTTTGTCTGTTTATTTAAGATTTATCCCTTTCACATTTGATTCTTGTGTGACAGCACAAATGATAATAAAGCTATTTTGTTTGTTCCTGTTTCCCCAATTCCCACCACTGGTGTTCCACTGTTTGCCATATATCCACATATAGCCTAAATGATTAGTTACCTAATATATTTCTCTAAATCACCTCATTTTTTAAAATATAAATTTTTTTCAAAGAAAAAGTAAATGTAACTCCAATGGAAAATCACTTTGACTTGCCATAAACAGAAGGCATGCATCAACAAACATTAAAATGAGCACCTAAGGCCCCCTCCTGTCCAGCCAAGGGAAGCAACCACACTGAGACACTCTTCCAGAGCACACCTTTCACAGTTTCTCTCAGACACTACCTCAGCTCGAGGGCCATGCCCTATTTTAGCAAGCTCCCACATTGCCCACCCTGTGCTCAGCTGTGAGACTGCTCCATATCCCTCCTGTTGTTCTTGACTTCAGGTTGGAAACCTGCACCACATGTGACTCAGTGCATAAACAGATGGCTTCCTGTCTTCTGTGTGATTAGAAACTGTTCTATAGCAGAACTGCTGCTTCATTAGCATTTCAGGAACCTCAAGGGGCTCTTGCCTGGATGAGTGCGTTGGGGGTGTGTATGGGGGTGGGGCACTGAGGAGTTTTCAAGGTTTCCTGTTCACCCTCCGTGATGGGTACTCAGGTTCTCTGGCTTTTCACTAGGATCATCTTAATACCTGATGTATCAGTATAAAACCATTTGTTCATTATTAATGCTGGCTTTTCAAAAGATAATCACTTTGCAAGTTTGCTATATCTGTTAAATTCTTTTCTGGTAACTTGCTTTCGCTTATTTGATCAAGTCGAAATATTCTCCAATTTATTTAGTAGTTGTGATGAGTATTTCATTCTTTCTCTGTTCCTTTGGGGGCATTTCGGGCTCCTTATTTAAACTGTAATAAAATCCAGCTGAGCTTAGCTTGCTTTGCTAGTGAGGACACTGACAGCTACAACTGCTTTTCACACTACAACTGTGGCCCCATCCCAGCATTTTCACACATAAAACAGCGCACTCATTATATTTTACAAATGGTCTAGCCCTGGCTTTTTTAAAATCTCTTCCTTGACCCAAATGTTTCTGAGAAGCTATTTTATTTTGCCTCCAAAATATAAGAGTTTAAAAACATTACCAAATTTTACCTCCTACTCTCAATGTATAGGACCACAGAATAAAGGCTATAAAATTTCCCCATTTTTGTTCTTACTGTCTCTTTGTAATAGGGGATGTAAACAATATCCGTGATTCAACACCCCCCTTCAGATCCAGGGGCTCCGTTCTCAGAATAAAATGTGAGTGGTACCCCAACCCTGAAAGTGTGCAATGCCTAACCAGCCTTCTACAGAATGTGCTACAAAATCTAATTAGTCTTCTGCTGTTTATTTCTTGAGTCCTCTTTCTAAATTTTATCTGCTTGATTTGTTTTAAGATAATTATGTGGGGGGGATGGAAACATTCAATTTAGGAATTATTTGATTTTTCTCTATATAATTTTGCTGCTGTTGTTTGGTACATACAGAGTCCATATTATGCTGGCTTTGTTACTGTCTCTAATTTATATGCAAATCTTATTCAACCACCAAACTAAGCCCTTGCTCTGTTGCTGAGACATCTACTAGAACCAGATACACTGCTGAACAAAACTATGTCTTCAAGTTCTTTTTTTCTGGTGTTATTATCGCCAACTTCTACTACACCTCTCTGTTTGATATAGTTTTGCTTTGTTTCTTGACTTTTCTCCTGCTGTTTTTGCTCAATTTTTAATGCTTCCCTACTTCCTAATTAAAAATTGAGATATTAAAAAAGTTGAGATATAAAAAAAGAAAAACTCTTAAAAGTAAAGAATTAAGTTGTTTTTAGTAGATACACAAAAACTGTGTGATACCACCATTTCACTCCAGAACATTTTCATCATTCCCAAAACAACACCCACTCTCAGTCACTTCCTAATCCCCTCATCCCAGCCCTAACAAACACTACTCTATGTTCTCTCTCTGTAGAATAGCCTATTCTGGACATTCCATGTACAGTCAATTCTAGGTATTTTTTGCGGTAGTCATGTACCCTAAAGTTGCTGTGAATGCTGAATTACATAGAGATACTGAGCCATGAGTGACCTCTGGAATGACCAGCTGCAGAACCACCCAGCTGAGCCCAGCCAACCTACAGAATAAGAAATACCAAATTCTTGTTATTTTAACCCATGAAGTTTTGAGGTCATTTGTAATATAATAATAGACAGCAGCAGCAAGGGAACACGGCAGCAAGTGCCAGGGACAACATGCTTGATGTACATGAGGAGCTAGGAATTTGTACAGAAAAAAAAACCCAAGGACATGCACTTAAGAACATACTTCGTCAAGCTTTTATAAATATCAACTTGTACATGACCGAATGCCACGTCCACTGGAGATCTTTCTATTCTGATTCAACATAAAACCCACTCTTTTCTACTACTCAGCTGTGAAACCTGATGGACACCTTTCACAGCTATTATTTCAAATAAGGAAGGCTTAACTTCCTGTGCAAGATTTTCAACTCCATCTTCCAGGGGTTCCACTGAAAAATGACTATATTGGTCACTGAAAAACCACCTGTGGCCTCACAAATTCCAGCCTCATCCACTCCCTTTAATCTGAAAAGACTGTATAGTGGTTCAGGTAGCTACACATCAAAAAGCCACGAAAAATATGAGATTCAGGAGTTCAAAAGAAAGTTCTCGAGTTAACAAAAACTGGACACAGTCTGTAACAAAATCTAGATACTTCCATGGGACAAGAGGAAGGCTAACCATAATAATGAATCAAGTACCTTTCCCAGAAAAATGAGCACATGTATGTTCACACAGAGGGACCCGGACACATGGCCACATATGGCCACATACAATTACAAGGAATTCCAGGCCCACTAAAGCCAACTCTGTGCTTTCATCAGGGTACACAGTCCACATGACCATGCCCCTTCCCCCAACACCACCCCCTCTGAGCCACTACCATTGTGCTGCCCACCACATGGCTTTACCTTATGCCCTTCTTTTAGTCTGGCAGGACCTCTCCAATCTCCTTTCTTCCTTCAAGCCTGAGTTCATGTGCTAACTGCTGTGTGAGGTCACCTTAAACATCACTTGCCCTTTCTCACTCAGAGCAGCCCTGTGATCCTTCATGAAAACTTTCAGGGACAGTGCCCACACCCCCTCACTGCATAGGTAGCCAATGCTGGGCTGGTTTCTCTACATGTGTCCCCACTGGTTGGGAGCACAGGAGGGCCTCCTCCAATACCTACACAGGTCAACGGTTTAACTGAGATGTGCCCTTCCCACAAGGAATGGTGGGACCTCAGCAGCACCTCTGTGTGCACTGGAGTTGGTCAGGTAAGATTTCTCTGGACTCTGTGAGACATGGCCTTAGAAAGGACTGAAGAGACCCTGCCCCACGGCAGCAACATCCGAGGAAGACACCAGAAGCATGCTTTACCTTGGTCGGTTTTGGTTGCTGGCTTCCAGTTTTCAGCACTAATTACTGGCAGACAGACCTGCCCCTTTTCATCGATGTTCGGGTGATAGATCTTTGTTTTAAATGTGATCTTCGGTGGTTTGAATGGGTATTCTGCTGGAAAGTTTATTTCGATTCTGAAGGCCCCCTTATCATATGGAGGGTTGTCCTGCAGGGAACAAGAAAAGATCAAATGAACACGTTACAACTCAAAAACCTGTCGCTGAGACAGAATTGGTTTGTTTACTTGAAAAACTAATTTATTTCAAGCAGTATGCCAACTGAAGCCTTGTCACCTTGAGGGCAACCAACAGTCGATCAGTATTTCTAGAGCAAGATGTCTGCTAAGTTCCAGAAAGCTCTGAGATTGATGGTGTGGCCACTTTATCTTTGTATCCTTAATAGACTTCGAGTAGTTTTAGGTTTACAGCAGCACCAAGAGGAAGTCCAGGTATCCCTCACTTTCCAAAAGTTCAAGTGACGCCACTTTACTTTCAGGAAAGGCCTACATTAGTACCTGTTTTGCTAGCCAACAGAAAGAAATCTGAAGAGGATTTTCACTTTTACCAAAAAAGGCAAAAAAAAAAAAAAAGGCAAACACACGTGTTTGTTTTGCTGCAATCCTTTACAGAGGCAGCACGCGCCCCAGGAGCAGCCAGAGTGGTGGCGCCGCACAGCGCCTTCCCTGGGAACTACACTCGGTGTCTCCGTGACAAGCTCTGAACTGTCTGTGAGCACCTGTGCTTTATCTGATTTTGTGTTATGTGTTAGCAAGATGTGTCCTAAAGTATCAGACAAGCCTAAGAGAAGTTATTTTTGGGGTCTGGGAACACTAAACATTTTTTCCATGTAAATTAATGGTAACTAACTGCTTCTTTGCTTTACACCATTTTGGCTTACACAAGGTTTCCTAGGAACGCTCTACTTTTGTTTGTGTGGTTTTTAAGATTTTATTCTTACGTAATCCCTTCACCCAATCTTGGGCTCAAACTCACAGCCCTGAGATCAGGAGTCGCAGGCTCCACTGACTGACCCAGCCAGGCGCCCCAGAATGCTCTACTTTTAGGATAGCAGGGGAAAGCTGAGCTGGGTTCCTGTATGTCCACTCCTCCACACACAGAGCCTCCCCAACTATCAACATCCCTCATAGAGTGGCTTGTTTGTTACAATCAAAGAACCTACACTGACACCTCATTATCACCCACAGTCCAGTTACATTAGGGTTCACTCTTGGTATCATTCATTTTATGGTTTTGGTATGGTATCATACATTAGAGTTAGAATCCGACAGTATATATAGCCTTTACAGATGGCTTCTTTCACTTTGTAATATGCATTTAAGGTTCTGCCATGTTTTTTTTCATGGCACAATAGCTCATTTCTTCTTAGCACTGAATATTTCATTGTCTGGATTTAGCACCACTTATTTTATCCATTCACCCACTGAAGGACATCTTGGTTGCTTCCAAGTTTGGCAACTAAGAATAAAGCTGACTTACACATCTGTGTGCAGGTTTTTGTGTGGATACACCTTCCCAACTCCTCTGGGAAAATACCAAGCAGCATGATTCCTGGATTGTAGGTTAAGAGCATGTTTAGTTATTTTTTTTTTAAGACTTATTTATTTTATTTATTTATTTTTAAAGATTTTATTTATTTAGTTGTCACAGAGAGAGAGCACAAGCAGGGGAAGCAGCAGAGAGAAAAGCAGGCTCCCTGCTGAGCAAGGAGCCCAATGTGGGGTCCAATCCCAGGACCTAGGGGTCATAACCTGAGCCGAAGGCAGATGCTTAACTGACTGAGCCACCCAGGCCTCCCAAGAGTATGTTTAGTTTTGTTAAAAAAAAACAAAAACAAAAAAAACAACTGTCTTCCGAAGTGGCTGCACTATTTTACATTTCCACCACCATCAAATGAGAGTTCCTCACTGAGCGACATCCTTCCCAGCATTTGTTGGTATGTTTTTTTTTTTTTAAAGATTTCATTTATGAGAGAGAGAGGAGAGAGAGAGAGAGAGAGAGAGAGGATGAGCAGGGAAAGGGGCAGACGGAGAGGGGAAGCAGACTCCCCGCTGAGCAGGGAGCCTGACATGGGGCTCATCCCAGGATTCCGGGATCATGACCTGAGCCGAAGGCAGATGGCAGCAGACCCGCTTAACTGACTGAGCCACCCAGGAGCCCTAGTGTTAGTGTTTTAGACTGCTGTCATTCTAATAGGTGTGTAGTGGTATCTTGTTATTTTAATCTGCAATTCCCTAATAACAACATGATGTTGACTATTGATATGTTTATTTGCCATCTATATATTTATCTTCCTTGGTGAGATATCTGTTCAGATTTTTTGCCCATTTTATTAAATTTTTTGAAGATTTTCTTTATTTACTTAAGAGAGAGAAAACATGAGCAGGGGGAAGGGCAGAGGGAGAGGCAGACTCCCCGCTGAGCAGGGAGCCTGATGTGGGACTTGATCCCAGAACCCTAGGATCATGACCTGAGCCGAAGGCAGATGCTTAACCGACTGCACCATCCAGGCACCCCTTTTTTGCCCATTTTAAAATAGACTCTTGGGGCACCTGGGTGGTGCCCCTCTGCCTCTGCCCCTCCTCCAGCTTGTGCTCTCTCGCTCACTCTCTCTCTCAAATAAATAAAATCTTTAAAAATAAAATAAAAATATGGGGTGTCTGGGTGGCTCAGTCGTTAAGCATCTGCCTTCTGCTCAGGTCATGATCCCAGTGTCCTGGGATCGAGCCCCGGGTCAGGCTCCCTGCTCAGCAGGAAGCCTGCTTCTCCCTCTCTCACTCCCCTTGCTTATGTTCCCTCTCTCGCTGTCTCTCTCTGTCAAATAAATAAGATCTTTAAAAACAAACAAAAAATAAAAATCAAGTAAGAATTTTTTGTGTATTTTTAGATAACAGCCCTTTATCAGATAGGTTTTTTGCAAATATCTCATCTTTTAAGAGTTGGGGGTGCCTGGGTGGTGCAGCTGGTTAAGTGTCCAACTCTTAGTTTTAGCTCAGGTCATGATCTCAGAGCCGTAAGACTGAGTTCCCTGTCAGGCTCCACACTCAGCACAGAGTCTGCTGGAGTTTTTCTCTCCCCTCCACATCCCTAAAATAAATAAATAAATCTTAGAAAAAAAATAAATGAATCTAGAAAGACTAAAAAAAAAAAAAGAAAGAAAGAAAAAGAAAATATGAAGAGTCACACTAGGGGTAAATAACAACCCAACCAAGACCACACTGAGTGCTGATAGGCCAAACAGGTGGCCAGGGCTCCAAATTCTGGCTAGTTTGGTCTCCTCAAAGTAAAGCCAGTATCCAGCTGGATGGCTAGACTCTGGGAAGCTGAGCTTGCCCCTAGCTGGTAGCTAGTCAGGGCCAGAACCATGTCCCACCTCCTTGTCCCTAGGATGGCTCGAAGATCTAGACCTCAGGGGCTGGACACCCTGGTGGGCCCAGGAGCCTCTGAGAGATGATGAGCCCCAGATAAAGAGCCCCAGCCTCTCCTCACCCTCCGTCTACCTTTGGGAAGTTGAGCAAACCCTTCATCTACTGCCTTTTCCTAGTACTCTGGCTCTCCTGCCATATCACACCCAACCCAAAGAAAGTTAAGCTTTTAAGAGTGCCCAGGAATGCTGTTGGCAGCCTCCACACCACAGCCCTTCCTCTTCAAGCCCCAGACCACCTGGGTATCCTCCAGCAAACACAGCTCCTCTGCTGGGAAACAAGGTTGGCATGCACCAGACATGTCCAAAGAAGGGAGGCATGGTGCAGGGGCTTTGAGGACAGGTAAAATTAGGGAATGCTGAAGGGTAAGAAAGGTCTTCCAGGCAGAGAAGACTGAAGACTAGGAGGTGGGGCTTGGAAGGGGCAATCTGGGGCAAGACGAGGCTGGGAGCAGCCAGTGTGGCTGAGGGGCTACATGGGGTCTTCCTAAGGAAAGGCTGGGGCCACGTTTAGGGCTCGGAACTCCCCTCTGAGCAGTGGGATACCCTGTCAGATTAATCTGTGGGGAAGCTTGTGAGGAAGCTGGGAGACTCAGGGTCTGGAAGAAGGTGGAGATGTTAGCGAACAGTCCAGGCCAGGTGCCTATGTGGGGAGACAGCCCTGCACACACCTGGGAAAGGTTACGATATCATTTTTATCTCAACAAAAGGTTGGGGTCATTTTTATCCCAACAAAACCGTCCCTAATCCCTTCTTTAGGAACACACAGTTCTCTAGAACACTGTCCAGAAGTTAAAGTGGCAGCAGACCCCTCCCAGGCCTTGTCCTGTGTGCCCACCTGGAGTTACTCACTACCAAGGACAGCTCAACTCACTGTTACAAATGTACAAATTTGTACAAATTACAAATGGGGGAACTCAGAGAAGATTGCTTTTGGTTTTGATTTTTGGTTTTTAGGGGTTTTGTTTTTGCTTTTGGTTTTTAAGAGGTTTAAATTTTCTAAGTAAAAATCACATTCACTTATACTGCTTGAGCCATGTAAAAAGAGCTTTCCTGTACAACTTTTGTTTGGCTGGTCATATCTGCCAGATTTATTCATTCATTGCCCTGGACTGATCAACCACCCTGTGCCTCACCTGATGCTGGGCCCTGTGCTAGGAGCTGGGAGACAAGAATGAGCCGGTTCCAGTTAGCAGTGCTAACCTCGGCTCTACCTCCTGCTCACTGGGCAAGCCGGGGACCCTTCCTGAATAGCTGTGAAATGGGAGTGTAACTGCAGTCTGCCGTGATGAGGTTTGAGCTCATACAGTCCAACGTGCCTGGCACCTGGGCAAGAAGCTCAAGAAAAGCAGCTCTGCTGCTACCAGAAGCACGACAGGCTGAGCCTCTCACCACCACTTAGGTAACATGGCTAAGCTCACCTTAACTTCTCTGGGCCTCTGTCCTTGTCTGGGGCTCTGGGGATGACCAAAGGAGTGGCTCGGGTGTGTGCCAATCACACAGACTGTCCACCTGTCCCAGTGATTTTTGCTGAAGAAGGTGTACAAAAATTAAAACACAGGATATACCTTCTGGATAAAGGCCCAGAGCACTTGTGAATCTTTGACATTTCAGAGCTAAACTTATTCTGTGGAAGGTAGCTCAGAAACTCTAAGGGACCTTAATGAGAAAACATGTTTGTGTTGTAGAAAAGAATTATACATCTACCCAGGAATTTGCCTCACA